TCCATGCCGTATTGATGCACGCAACGATAATCCTAAGAATTGTGAAACGTAACTACGGTTTTTTGTACAATCTTATGAAATACTGTCTGACCTTAATGCGATATGGTCTGTGGCCACAGTGTAAAATAATTAGCCACAAATGTTTGTAACACAGCATTGTAGAGAAAACACTTTGGGTTTAACCAGAGGTGTCAAACTTAATTTTGCATTTAGCCATATATGAAACTAGCTTTTGCCCGTGGCTTCGCTCGCGTTAATTTATCCTCTTAAGGGTGGAATTCATCAAAATCTTTTCTTAGAGGATGCCTACGTCATAGTAGCTTTATGCATGCAAAGTCTCAGCCCGATCGGTTTGAAATTGACAAAGTTTCATACTTTCATCCCCTTGGGGACAGAATTAATCAAAATTCTTTCTTAGCGGATGCCTACGTCATAACATCTACCTGTATGCCAAATTTCAGCCCGATCCGTCCAGTTGGTCTGTGTGTTGATAGATCACTATGACAGTCACCTTTGAGTTATATATATTTAGATTTAGAAAGTATAGGTGGGCCAGATTCAAATAAAAACAATGTACTGAATAATTGTAACATTTATATATTTAATTATATATTATAGTATAATAAATTAAATCAAAAGTCATTTCCTAAATGAATAAATCATGTTCCTAAATGAATAAATGATTATTTGAAAAAAATTTACGTTCGCTTATGAACGTAAAATTTTATTGTATTAATATTTTTTCCAGGGATGTTATGGATATGAAATTTCGGATACGGATAGGTTTCGGATATAGGAATGATTATTATACCGGATACGGATATGAAGTTATTTCGGATTATCCGTTAGTTTCGGATAATTAAGTAGGACGCTCCGCAGTTAGGTGGAGCGACATCAAACGTAGGGTTGCGGGTAATACTGGAAGAGAACAGCTGAAAATCGGGCCCAATTGCGTGCCTTGAGAAAGACCTATGTCCAGCAGTTGACTGCAGTGAGCTAATGATGATGAAACTTCAAAGAACGTTCGATATATTATTTAATTCTGAGACGGAACGAAATCCGCGGGCTCAGCTAGTAAATTTAAAATGTATATAATGAAAATCTTCGGCCTAGCAACAGAAGCTGCATATAGATCTTCATGTAGTGTATTTACGTAAGTAGGTATGTAATTTTAAAAATGTTTGCTTACCAAACGAAATTAACGTCGGATCTTAAACAAAATGGCGTTTCGCCAATGTCTGTTAGTCTGTATTATATGTACTTGTCGACAGATTGTCTACAAATGAAATTTATGTTTTTTTTTTCACTAGTCGCTCACCTGCGTTAGATTCAGGTCGCGTTGTGGCCTATATATCTAAAAATTAGATACTCGTATAGCTCTACCAAAAATCTATACAAATAATAATAATAATAATCTCAGGACAATTCATACAGCGCCATCTAGACCCAAGTTAAGCTAGCTAAAGCTTGTGTTATGGGTCCTAGACAACTGATACAAATACATAGATAATTTTTTTTTTCGTAAATACATACATATTATACATAGAAAATACCCAGACCGATACAAACAATCATACTCATGAATACAAATGTTTGTGCCGTGCGAGGAATCGAACCCGCGACCATCGGACGTAAAGCGGTGTGCTAGACCGCTAGACCACCGAGGTCGTCAGATGTAATTCAAGTGTCTGTTTGTAATTTAAATTAACGGTTTTTCACCTAAATGCAGTTATAATACTAATCATTCCCTTGGACAATTCACACAGCGCCATCTAGTCCCAAGATAAACAGAGTTTGTATTATGGGTCCTAGATTACTGATATGAATATATTACATAGATACTTTTTTTTTGTTAATACATACACACAGACCGATACAAACAATCATACTCATAAATATGAAAGTTTGTGCAGTGCGCGGAATCGAACCTGCGACCATCGGAAGTAAAGCGGTGTGCTATACAGCTAGACCACCGAAGTCGTATATGAAAACATATACGGTTTAAAAGATGACCGTCTGTCTGTTCTTGCTATTTTCTGAAACAGCTGGACCGATTCTGACGGGAGTTTCACTCCCAGCTAGCTAAAGTTGTAAGGTCACTCGTTTTAGCGGGAGATTCACTCGCAGCTAGCTTGTCTCGTTTTAGGCTACCTAAAAACATATTGGTTAAATGGGATAAGGAAGAAGCAGATGATGATATGAATTTATATGAATAAAAAAAGTTCAATTCCAAGCGGGCGAAGTCGCGGGTAACAACTAGTCACAAAATAATGAAACGTCACGAAATACTTGAAATTCTAGCAATTAATGTGAGCGTGATGATAAAAGCGAGGTGCGGCTGCAAGGGTACACGGAATTAATTGCTTCTGATTGCGTATTGATGGGTCCGTCACGACTATTGCTGACCTTACGGTTATATCATTGCTTATTTGTCATCTAATTATGGTGTTTAAAACGAAAATCACAAGGTTGTGTTCATTGTTAATAATCAAGAAAGCCTTGTGAATTTCGTTTTATTTCCAGTTGTTCAGAAAGAAAGAAAAAACATTATTCGATAGACATCATTATTATCATTACATAGTATAAAACAAAGTCGCTGTCGCTGTCTGTCCGTCCCTATGTATGCTTAAATCTTTAAAACTACGCTAACTACTTTAGTGATTCTAGAGGAAAGTTTATATATTTAATACAAGTACACCCAGGCGAAGCAGGGTCGAGCTAGTAAACAATAAATAAAATAGGTATATAATGTTTATTTATTTATTTAATTCAGGTTAATAATGGCCCTTAATATAAATACCTTACAGACTAACATATTCATTCATTCATAATTTAAGAGCTCTTGCCACTTTCCGCGATCTTCCATCATGCTCTTTAATTCTTGATACGACACGACTCCCATTTTGTCCTCAATTTGTTTGATGTAGCTATTCCTTGGTCTTCCCCTCCCCCTCTTTCCTTATAAAAATAAATATAAATTGTCTGTGTGATCACGGCACTGATGATGATATTCTGCCAGGGTAGCGCCGATACACCACACCCTTGGACCAGTAGTCCTCCTTCATGAAGGTTGTCAGCATGTTGGTGGGAACTCGGGCCTCTTATGCCTTGAAACTCGCGTTATGACTCGATTCCAGCTGTGTCACCGTTTATGCTTGTAGAGACTGGTCTGCTCTTATCACTACGACTGATTTAATCTTATTGTATATTTATATTTGACCCAAAAAACTTTGTTTGTTTGATTGTAACACTTTATTGCACAATAAATACATTTAAATTAAATTAAAAAATATATATATAAGATGTACAATGGCGAACTTAACCCAAATGAGGGATTTCTTCCAGTCAACCTTTGAATGACTGAAAGGAATTGTAGAGTGGTGGAACTATATATATACATGACAATAACAACAAAAGAAAAAGAAGCAAACGCATTATATAACTATAATATAAAATTAGTGCTGGTTGGTAGTTTGTATTCACACGTTTCGACTTGTAAATGTAAATTTACAAGGATTATTTAAAAGAGCAACACACAAGTTTCTTGCTCGTTCTTCTTGTGATGAGATAGCTTTCTGAACGAGCGGTAGATAAAAAAAAATTATGACTATTCAAAAGTGCTTAAATTAAGTTTATTTGAATAAATGATTTTCTATTCTATTTTTTAAAATGTTAGGTTACTTTTGGTCCGTATGCAGTCGACAATGTCCTGCTCCTTAGTGGCGTAATGTAGGCGAGGTAGTTTATTGCAATTATTATTAGACATCTGTAATAGAACTACTTGAATAAAGATATTTTGATTTGATTTGATATACATTATCTGTGATCAAATTTTTCCTACGAATCTTTGACAAATCAATTGATTATCTAATGTAATGTACCACTCATGGTTGACTGAGAGATAACGCATTTAGTAAAAGGTGTTACGGGGCACAGTTACCTAGATACATCAATGTAATAATGGCTAAGTATTCCAAATGTACATTTTATTTATGAGTATTGAAGTTAAATAAATAAAACATATTATCACAGTTGTCGCATGATGACGTGATATCCGTGAATTTATTCGTGTATATACGCAACGGTAGTTTCATCATCAGGTAAGCCACCACTTGAACAGTAAACAAGCTGGTGATCTTGTTTACCGTTCAAAATATAAAAAACTTACTTGCAAGCAATAATGGTAGAACTATTTATTGCCCTAAACAAAAGGCCGGCTTATTGCTTAAACTCTTACAGACAATCTGACGTGCAATCAATAACCATTTGTAGAAATATATTATATTTTTTTACACGAAATATTCTCGAATTATCTTATTATCATTTCGAGTTGGGTTTACCTTAAGAGTGCACTTTCCTAAAGTAAGATTCCCTAAACTATGTGGTATTTAAATCGCAGGTCGAATTTCCAAATGGCTTTAATTTTGTTAGACTTTTTAATGTTTCCGTATAGAAAACTTACACAACAGAGGCAGGAGTTGGTCTTTTGCCACTCCATAACTTCTTCCGCGGGTTTGCAGCACCCTCTACATTCGCTTCCTTTTTAGAATAGATTTTTCAATAAAATTTATTCTAAAAAGGAAACACACACTAACACAAAGAGAAAGATGTAAGAAAAAGGTATATTTAAAAATGTTTACAAAATGTTACCTCCTCTTAATTTTGGCCTCTCCAATCGATCCCCCGTCTAATTCAAACGGGGATCGAAATTACGATTGTCTGAGCCGAGGTTCTAACCTCTAGCGGTGTCCTCAGACTATACTCGTGTCTGTCAGGCGGGAGTTGATCTTCAGCCGCTCCATAAGACTCCGCGGGTTTGCAGTGCCATCTGCACTCTGCGCATATCGTTCGGTGAAGCTGTAAAATTCAGCTGCGCCTAACAGCATTAAAATAGTTCGAGTAAAAAAGGGCCCATCCTTTTGTCTTCCGATGACGGCCAGCTACGGCCAATATAATTGAATTAGTTTAAAAATAGCTAACCTGCTGTTTTTCTGTTCCAGGTGTGTGAGATAGTGAGGTGAGGGCGCGATGGGCGCGGTGCGGCGCTCGCACGTCGCCGCGCTGGGCGCGGTGGCGGCCCTGCTGCTGCTGCTGCTGGCGCGCCTGCCCCCCCCTCCCGCCGCCCCCGCGCCGCGCCCCGCGCCCGCCGCCACCTCCCCCGCGCCGCCCCCCACCACCAACCGCACCGCGCCCCCCCCGCCGCCGCCGGCGCCTCTCGCGCAGTCGCCGCCCCCGTCCCCCAAGCCGCCCCCGCCCCCGCCCCCGCCGCCCAAACCCCAGCCGGCCGGCCCCCACCCCGTCATGACCAAGGAGGTGTACGCGGCCGGCCACGAGAAGCCGCATCCTGAACTCTGTCCCGCCCTCGGCGCGAGACTCAAGCTCATGATTCTGGTGACGTCGGCTCCGTCGAACGCGTCGGCTCGCGACGCAGTCCGACTGACGTGGGGGCACTACACGGCGCGGGTGGACGTCTCGATGGCCTTCGTGCTCGGCATGCCGCCCGACTCCTTGAAGGCGGCGGTGGACGCCGAGGACGCCCTCTATGGCGACATCATAGTCGGCCGATTCGTGGATTCTTACTCGAATCTCACACTCAAAACTTTGTCGATGCTCGAATGGATCGACACCTACTGTCCCCGAGTGCCGAAAATCCTCAAAACGGACGACGACATGTTCATAAATGTCCCGAGACTCCTGCAATTCGCTTCAGCGCCGTCTCGAGTTAACGCTACCAAAACTATCTGGGGAAAAGTGGTCAAGAAGTCACTGCCGAAGCGGACGACTCGGTCCAAGTACTACGTCTCGCCCGTGCAGTTTCCGGGGAAGGTGTTCCCGGATTTCGCGACGGGGCCGGCCTACCTGATCACCGCTGATGCGATAGGACCGCTCCTAGCCGCCGCATCTTCGGAGCGGTACATCCGTCTGGAAGACGTGTTCGTCACAGGCGTGCTAGCGAACAAGTTGGGTATAAAACGGCAGCACGCCCCCGAGTTTTACAACAAGAAGGTGGCTGCCCACCCCTGCGCCGTGCAGAGAGGCGTAGCGATACACATGGTAAGGTATCATGAGCAATTTGACCTCTGGCGGAAACTGTTAGATGGGAAGACGAAATGCGCCAGCTAGTGATAGTTTGCCGAATATCTTTATGGAACAATATTACTTTTAATGCAGATAGACTATGCCAGGTTCCTTGTGCTATGTCAGTTTTGTACATGGCACTTCCCAGGCAGAGTATGGACAGGGGTGATACAATCAGTATGAGGATGTCTACTACTACCTATCACTGTTTAAACCTTTTAATGTACTTGGAACAGCAATAAGCTATCTACTTGATGAGAAGTAGGAAATGTCGCCTATATACATAAAGATCGCTACAGACATCACGTTATCATGTGATACCACTGCGTTGCTATTCTGGAGTGTCTTGAAGTCTATATACCCTGTAGTAACCTAAACTCACCCGTCAATCGAATACAGTTTAAGAAACAAGATGCTTTGACACAGAAACGATGGATCTAACACAGAACTGTCAAAATTCTGCCTCTGTCCTGCAGATGTATAGCGTACCCTGTGCACTAGCTAGTGCCATATACAAAGTTGAGACTATAGATTTATTAGTCGCACTATATAGGTATAAGCTAAGATGTACTCATTAAAAACACTCTGTGACACTTTGGCTCTCTGTTTCCTGCATATTAAGCTTAAGCTCTTACTTTAGTAATTTGATTACACATCTTTCCTTTGCTGTTACAGCAAAGATAACGCTATATTGATCAGGATAAAATATCTTTTTATACTATAACGGGTCTATAACGGAAAGTTTTGGTTTTAGATAAATTTTGTGCCAATGTGGCATTTTTTTTGCTGGGATCCGTTAAAGCATTGGTGTAGTAAAATATATTAAAATATTGAAATTAATATTGTAGTTAAATGTAACACGATATGTTTTGACTTTATATCTGCAACGCACAAATGTACCAGCTGTTTATTATCACGTCAGCCATGTTTGTTTACCTACTCTGTAGTATAAAATATACAGATTATAGAATCATGTCAGGGAAATCATAGCTGTATATAATGTTTGTTTTTGCATTAATAAAATTAATGATAATATTAAAAGTAGTGTTGTTCCCAATGTTCTGTATGTCGCGGTTCCTTTCTATATTTGTACATTGATATTATTTTATATTTTATTTAATACAAAAAATATTTTTTATATTTGAATAATGCTATTGCGTGTAAACGATGTGATCGAGTGACAGAAGAGTTACAAATGTTGCCATAACGGTAAATTGTATCAAATTATATCTACTTATATTAAATTGTTAGAAATATAATATAGTTATAAATGTTTATATTTAAAGTACAAAATTTACATGCGTGTAATGCATGTAGCTTGTATATTTTGTATGCAAGGCGGTAGACTAGAGCAGATTTTATATTATTAAAATTTAAATACAATTATCTGAATTTATACCATCCTGCAGATGGTGGTACCATCTTGTTGTTAGGGCGCCCTATGCGAAATAGGTCGCCCTAACAACAAGATGTGAAATAGCACCTATTGCCTACTCAATTTGAAATAAATTATATATGTATATCTAAATTAATGTTTATTTAATATCTACAAGGTTAAAAATGTGTTCCGTTCGGATTTTCTTCTTTCACCTCTGATTTTGAAAATATGGCTGCTTTTTATTTATTTGTTTATTCTCTTTAACAAATTATCTAGAACGAGCAACACTGTCAGTTATACTTGCTAAAAGAAAAGATTATTTAATGTGTATGTCATAAATCTCATTTTTGAATGTCTTTTTAAATAAAAAATATTCGCGCCAAATTAAACGCGCCATGTTTATCACATTTGCCATTTTCCCCCAATAATATTTGAATTTACTTCCTCAATATATATAGTTTAAATACTTTAATAGTTCAAAACTGTTAATAGATATAATTAAGTTTTAATATTATGTCCATGTTTTATACAATTTTTTTTATTCTGTATATACTTAAAATGAAAGACTTGTGAATTGTGCTCATACAGCCATATTTATTTGACGTTTTTATAAATACAATATGGCGGATAGCCATGAATCGTCTATCGCCTTGCATACATTTCCTTCGAGAATGTTCCATCTTGTTAATAACAAGATAGAATCACGCTCGTTGGCACCTTGTTCCTTTCGCGACGATTGTAAGCACTTCATTTTTAGTCATTTAATTTTTGTATTATAAATTACAAATGTTAATATTAATAGGTAGCTATATTATTAAAAATCAATACATCGATTTATATGCCATTATAGGGTACACCATTTTTTTATATTCTATTTTTAAAAAGAGTTTTTTTTTAATTTGCTTACGAAATGATACATTATTTCTTTTATTACTTTAATACACTGAGTTTGTTTCGTATCATATAAAAATGCGTATCATATAAAAAATATTGAGAAATTCTGAAAACTAGGGTCTCTCAGTAATAAGCAATTACTGTATATTTTTTTATAGATTACTTTTTTATTATCTTTAAGTAGGTAAAGAAAAGTTGTTTTACAAAATATCGATTACAACATTAGATTTTTTTTTATCGATTAATCAATTTTTACCGATAGATGGCGTTGTAAGTAAATGTGATCTGTAATCACTAGATAATTCTTGCATTATGGTTTCTATTTTAATTCTTTAAATCAATTTATGTACGTATAAGTATAGGAATGTTATAAATAATGAACAAAATGTGAAAGATGATACTCTATAAAATCGAATTTAAATTAATTGTACTCTATGACTTGTTTACAAAATCTAGTTAGTTTTTTTTTTATATTTGCGACGTAACATTTTAATACTAGTAGTAAAAGTAAGGAGTTATTAAATATCTACCGTAGAAAAATAATAGAAAAAAAACAATTTATTATTATAATGATCAAGAAAATTATTAATATATTAGTTTATAAGTTTTTTTACGAGTTCCTTATTGGTTCGTATTCTTCTGTTATAAGTTGTTTAGACCAAAATCTAATATAGGTATTAATTTGTCTCCCATTTTTCAATATTAATAAACATAAAAAGTAGATATAGAATCAATACACTGTTACCATCCATCCAACGGCTTGCGTCAGACTAAGATGGAATTTTTGGACCACTCTAATGATGCTCGCCGCAGCTGGCCTTTACAGTTTCATAGGACGATAGGGGGCGAGTGCAGATGGCACTCCAAACCCGCGGAAGGACTTATGGAGCGGCTGAAGGCCAACTCCCGCCTGACGGATACGACTTTAATCTGAGGGCGCCGCTAGGGGTTCTAACCTCGGCTGAGGCCGTCGTAACATCGGTCCCCGTTTGAATTGGACGGGGGATCGGAGGGGCTCTAAGATGGAAGTAGAGCCGCTGGTATTTATAATAGGGTCCCCCAGGTCCCCTGCTAGGCAGCCAAAGAGAACCGTCTGTATCATTTCTTTTGCAGCTAAAATTACATAAAACTATTTCCTATTAGACTTGGGAAGATTCAGATGTTACCAACTTTCATATACACAGGAACAACTTTACATAAAACAATGTTTATTGCCCAAGCTTATGACTCTTTTTATACGACCAAACCGCTGAACTATCAACACTAGGCTTCCATGCTATATCCGAACTCTATTCAATGGCTATTAAAGACTTCCCCTGTATCAAATCGCAGCGGGAGCCTAAGATTTAAAATGAATCAAAATATATACATTAAAAAAAAAAAACGGTGAAACAAATAAAAGGGAATAAAAAAAAAAAAATGGTTAATGATGCCTCGTTTAGAGACGAAACAAGTGTCGCAATATGGGTGTAGACTCAATAACGGTCGGAATTTGATCACCATTAGAGAGGGTCGTAACGGTAGTCAAGTTTCCGCACTGAATATTTGTAATCTCACACATGGTAATTGTAGCGGAATTAAACAAAATAATAAAAATCCATTAAATAGTGAAATGGACTTCCGCGAAATAACACCCAACTCGAGACTTCAAGGATATTGAGCTATTATGTACTTACAATCGTTTGTAATAAAGCTCTTTTTTAATTACTCAAACTGTAAAGTTAGAAATTTATTTGAGCTGATTAGTGTAATTTAGATTTTATATTTTTATGTTTAAATTGAGGTTATGTTAGTGAGGTGCTTACATTTGTAGTCGCGCGATGAATGACTGTGCCACGCCTCTGGCCCGTAGACTTTATTAATGTATTAGATTGTCTATGTCAATGAGACGCTAAATTGTAATTCTAAATTCAAATTTAAAAATCTCAATTCGAATTATATATTTTTTTGCTACTTTATCTCTAATTTACGGCAAAGACATATAGCTGTACAGTTTACAAAACATTCAATGTTGTTTAAAAAAAAACTTGTGTATTCCGGCATTTATTTATATCTATGTAGTAACATAAAGTAACAAAGTACAGAACCGTTGTAACGGATCGATACATTATTGTTTTATTAATATTTTAGTGATGCACCGTTTTATGTGGATAGCTTTCGCCTTAAATATTAAAAGCATAGGCGCCGTGTCAACTGACGCACTATGGATTGTCGGCCATGTTTGTTACCGACAACTAAGTAATTATATTTTATAGTAATAATTTGGTTATGAATATAATTGTGGAAGACATATATACCTGTGATTATAAAGTTATCGGCGCCGTCATGTGATTGTAGTTAGCGAGTGTCTGTATTTACCGTGTTGTATTCTATTGTACAGATTTATTGACTATTTTGTGCCAGACATTATGTAAATATAAGCATACACGTCCTTCCTTTTGTGTTTTATTCTAATTTCAAATCAAACCAAGTCAAAAGTCATTTATTCGTGTAGGACATTTTAGCAGCTTATAAACGTCAAGTTTTTTGCTTTATATTTTTCCCTACCATCCAGTTCAGCACACAGATTCAATTGAGAACTTGCAAGAAACACAACTAAATTTCTTTTTATAAAAACCAGTTTATTTATGTTGTATACTTATGTAGGTGTCTATGTCTAACATTAAACGTGCATGAACAACTATTGCCATGCACTTTTGTCATTTAAGTAATCGTTTAGTGAATAATAAGCTTTGCACAATAAAAAATTAAAACATGTCCTTTTTAAAAATATATAATACGAGCTGACCCGGCAAATGTTACTTTGCCATATAAGGTACTAGCCCGAGAGCCCACGATGGCCAGACATACGTCTTATTATGCTACGTTTACATTCAGCCGCTTCCCCTGCTATTCGCGCTGCCGGAAATATTGCCGGGCGACAACTGAGCGAGAGGGCTGAATGTAAAAACACGCTGCCACTCGCGCTGCCTGTCCTTTGGTCCCGCACGAAACCGACAACCGAGGTAGCGCCGGGCAGCGTCAATGGGATGGGAGGCCCTCCATTTCTCGGCCAAATTTCCCGAGAGTACAAGTTTTTCCGGAAGATAACACTGCATCTTTTTATATGATTTCGTTTCGTCTCGACTGCGCCATGTATTATTAGACAATTAATAGTCACAATTTACTGTTTTACCATTTATTGTTTTATTATACGTTTTGTAACCGTTACACATTCTTTTAACAATCTTATCCCAAACTCCTTTTTGACAGCTTGTCATTTGTCTTTTGACACTGACTTATTTATACAACATAGATTATATATCATTATTACTACTACAGGAAGTGTTTACACTCTCGCGCTGCTCACTTCCCTGCCCACTCGGGCTGAGTGTAAATTGGGCATTGGGCATGTGAAAGTTCTTGTATGTGTGTCCCCAACAAAGGTAAGAACGATCCCCAACCATGAAACCTGGATCGTGGTTCCTTTGGCAGGTAACAGGTAACAAAGGTGTAAAAATTTTCATATCAAATTCGTTAATTTAAAAAACTCAAACTTTTCACATATTGTTCGTAGCAGTATTATAACTTGCGCTGCTCATTGCCAGACACTTAGTGTGGTTCCGACCCCTGCCAGACATCCCTAAACTATTATTTTATAAATATACTTACGTTATTTTATGAAAGCTGAAGTTTATATATATTATTCAGAGAACTATTAAACTGTTTCCTTAATTGCCAGACAGTTTTGTTGGGTCTATCGTCCTACCAGACGCATTGTAAGCTATATTGGGTAACAACGGTGTATACAATTTCATATCAAATTTATAATTTATGTAACTAAATTTTTTTACATATTGTTCATAGCAGTATCAATTATACGGGGCCCCCAACGTGTGTACCGTTGGAGGGCCCGTATAATTGATACGGCAGATACGGCGCTAGCTACGCCCCTGTTAGTTGGCATCCCTAGGTGCCTTATCACATAAGGGTATTAAAAATAGATAACCTATACTCAGACCTATCGAATACGCAAGTAAAATTTTATCAAAATCGATTTATTATTATTTTTATCACAAATTAAACTGCAATATTACTAAAAAGTTATATATTTTCAATATTGTATAGAGTACAGTTCTTCCCAAACGTTGAATCTGTCTTCGAACATGTTCTCTTCAATTGAGAACTGCTTGTCAAACTTGAGGTACTTGGGCGCGGTTGGTGTCATGGCGGGCCATTGGAGAGTTGACAGCTCGGGTAGCTCATTGCCTCGAGGGTTTGGGTCTCTGGAAACACAGCATATTGTACCACAAGTAATGGACTATTTCATGTTTTTTTAAACATACACTAAGACACCGCGTAAGGAATAGAATAGAATAGAAAATCCTTTATTCAAATAAACTTAATTTAAACACTTAAAACACCGCACTACAGTGTAACCACAAGTAAATGCTTATAAATACAATATATTTACCCATATTTTGCGAAGTTGAACCACACAGCGGTCATTCTGTCCACAATTAGGGAGTCTGTGCTATCACTAACTTCGATGGTGGGGAAACGGTAGCTCAGAGTGAACAGGTAGATCAGATCGTCGTGGTGCGAAGCAGCTGTAAAAAATATATTTTCAAATGGAATAACAAATAAACTGATAGTACTCTTGACAGGGGGGAAAGGGGATTCTTGGTAATGTGGATTGATTATCTTATTGCTAGCAATGTACCATGTCAGACCTCCACGCGGTTCCCCCGAACCGCGTGGAGGTCACGTTTATTATAATTTATCACGGTTTCCAGGGGTGGAAACCGTGATAAATTCTCGGTGAATTTGTCAGGATGGCCTAACTGACCTGACATCATGTTCATCTTATCATCCTCCACTGGTGCCCCGCCAGCGTAATCCGTTAGCGCAGGCGGGTGCACCATTCCATTATCATGTATAAAAAAAAAGTAGTCTTGACGAGAAGTGGTAATCTAGTCTCCATACCAAGACAATAACAAATCCCGGAAAGCATAAAAAAAGAAAAAAAAAATATTTAAAGAAAGGCTCAAAGATTTATTGACTGCAAAGACTTACCGTTAAAGATTTTTTGGTAGACATACTGTAGGAGTTATGCAGACTTCAATTTCGTCCTAACACACAGTCAGACTAAAATATGCAGTGGCATATATGAAATTGCTACACTCTTTAAACAGAGTCCATATTTATTTTTACTCAGAACTTAAGGAAGGCAAGCGAAAGCATGGCGGACAACTCCTCAGGTACAAAGATGTGCTGAAGCGACACATGAAGCAGTGCGACATCAATCCTTCGCTGTGGGAGCAGCAGACTGCCAGACGGCCGGAGTGGAGAGCTTGTTAAATCTACCGTCAAAGTCTTTGAAATCCGGCGGCTCCTTGAGCTGGATGCCAGACGTGACGAGCTGAAAGCCCGACCACCTGCGGCTATCAGCTATAATTATGTGAGCGTGGTGCTCTCATGCCCGCAATTTGCGAGGATTTTTATAAACAAAATTGGCTCACAACAAAAAGTCACATGCGAGCACATCAACGGCAAAACCTGAGTTGAAGACAGTCGCCGTGGACAAAATCGGCCGGGATCACATCATATTTATTTGTTATCTATATGTAAAATGTATTAAAACTACATGCATGTGTAATAAAATTAAAAGTGATATGTTCTACAAGTACTAATCATTCAAAAAAGCTCACCTAAAGATTTATTGGTGACAGGATCTTCATAATGGCTGTGGTTGCCGACGTAAGCGAACTGGTAGTAATAAACCTTATGAGGCGAGTGGCGGCACATCAGGTTAGCTAATCTAGAATAGAAGAGGAAACATCTATTCAAAAGAGCAACACACAAGTTTCTTGCTCATTCTTCTTGTTAAGAATCTGCGTTACGAATAAGTGGTAGAATCCAAAATATGACTATTCAAAAGTGCTTGTATTTAGTTTATTTGAATAAAGATTATTCCTATTTCTAATAGAATATAATTCTATTGATTCGTCTTCACACAACAATAATGACAAAAAAAAAATACAAGCAACAATTTACACATATTAAAAAACAGAGTCAATGTGGGCAACCATTATCATCATCATCATCTCAGCCCGGAAGACGTCAACTGCTGGACATAGGCCTTGCCCAAAAAATCTTCACGACGATCGGTCCTGCGCTGCTCGCATCCATCGCCTTCCAACGATCTTGACCATATCGACGTCGATGCACTTGCTGGAGGTCTTCCCACGCTGCGTCTTCCGATCCGTGGTCGCCACTCGAGGACTTTATTTCCCCAATGGTCATAATGTCCTATGAGCTATGCGCCCTGCCCATTGCTACTTCAGTGTCGCAATTCTTCGGGCTATGTCGGTCACTCTGGTTCTTTTACGTATCTGCTCATTTCTGATTCGATCACGCAGTGAAACTCCGAGCATAGCTCTCTTCATTGCCCTCTGAGTGACTTTGAGCTTGTTCATGAGGCCCATAGTTTTTTTTTTGTGGATGATAATGGAATGGTGCACCCGCCTGCGCTAACGGTTTACGCTGGCGGGGCACCAGTGGAGGATGATAAGATGAGCATGAAGTCAGGTCAGTTAGCCCATCGTGACTAATTCACCAGGAATTAAACACGATGGTTTCCAGGGGGAACCGCGTGGAGGTCGACCTGACAAGGTACATTGCTAGCTAGCTAATGGGGTTATCAATCCACATTACTAATAATCCCCTTCCCCCCTGAGGCCCATAGTTAGCGACCACGTCTCTGTGCCGTAAGTCAACCACTGAGCATAATTCCAGAAACATAGTTTCCAACGCTGATTTTCAGTTGGGCCTACAGTAATCTGACGAACGAGTAAAATAATATCCGGAGATAATATGTCACGTAGACACAACATAGAGTGGTCGAATAAAGTAAGTGGTGATATACCTGAATACCACTTTTTTTGTAAATATATAGGAAACACCCAGACTGATACAAATAATCGTGCTCATGAATATATTTTGTATTGTGCTATGAATCAAACGGCAGTAAGACGGTGAGCTAAACCGCTAAACCACCGAGGCCGTAAGTTGTATAGTTACATAACTGACCTATGAACACCAAATCCAATAAGTGCGTCTGCATACAACTTCCCGAGACCATCTGCGCACTCTCGGTTTTCAGCTATTGGCGTATCTTTAAGATACGCCTGTCGTAGTTTATGAGCAGAAATCACCGCGGTGTCATCTTTTGCTAGTTGAAAACTGATAGGCGCATAATGGTCCCATTCGGAATTCATAGTGTCACGTAAGGTCTTGTTTTGTACAATAGCTGTAAATATATAAACGTATAACATATAATATCGGGATTGTAAGTAATGTGGACTGATGATCTTATTACTAGCAATGTACCATGTCAGGTTGACATCCACGCGGTTCCTCCTGGATACCTTCGTGATAAATTCTTGGTGAATTTGTCACTATGTGCTAACTGACCTGACCTCATGCTCATCTTATCATCCTCCACGAGTGCCCCGCCAGCGTAATCCGTCATCGCAGGCGGGTTATTTATACATATAAATAAAATTGGAATGTCTGTTTGTAATATTGAAATAACCGTTTTTTAATACATGTTTATGAATATAAATACGGTACATACACCAAAATAACATTTTTTACAATTTTTGTATGTTTCGGCTATATATAAAGTTAAATTCCACATGGACGAAGTCGCATGTACAAAACATGTCATCTATAAAAAAAAAAATACTCACGGAACGCCTTCCAGAAGAACTCATCATGTGTTTGACTTATAATATAAGGCACGGCATGCATCCTTCCCTGACGGACTGCATCAATCGGCTTCATATCAAGATATCTTTCTTGACCAAAGTCCAACTCGACCACGGGTGACCATAGTAGAGTTGGGTCGTAAAATTGATTCTGAAATTCATAATAATACAACTCTTTTACGCACGGAAATATATCTAATGTATAAAATTCTGGTGTCATAGGTTTTGTGTTTATACTCCTCCGAAACAGCTTGACCGATTTTAATGAAATTCTATATGTATATTGGAGAGGCATGACATTTCAGTCATAGTAATCTGTATTGTATGCATACATGTTCATATCATTTCATTACTATCATCACAACATAGTATAAAACAAAGTCGCTGTCGCTATCTCTTCGTCCCTATGTATGCTTATATCTTTAAAACTACGCAACGGATTTTGAAGCGGTTTTTTAATACATAGAGTGATTCAAGAGGAAGGTTTATATGTATAATACATTCATAATACTGTAAAGAAACACTGCTAAATTTAGAGATCTCTAATGTGATGTCGTAAATAAACACATTTTTTGCGCTTACATTGCAAACACGGGCTGAATTCCACGAGATAAATCAAAATAATATAGTATTTTACACCACAAAAAGATCAACAAAAAAGCTCGTGATGGTATATGTCTATCTCTTAAGGATAACTCACAATAACCATTTTTTATCCTTCACATTTTACGGAAAAAATGGCTTATTTACGAAGTGATTTTAAGCAATATAACGTTAATTTTCATCCAATTAAGTACCTTAAATACATCGTCCATTTAATATAGATCAATATGACCATTTACAGCATGTAATTTAAATGAATATTTCTGAAGATATTATAGTATTAAAATGTAGGTACATAGCGCTGCGACGGTACAGGCGTTTAGGTTTAGTATATGTAATATTATATTATCTGTGGTATCACAGAACTATGCAAAGTGAACCCCCTCGTATCCCATGGTTCCAAAACATTAACCTTAGTCGTAAGTATGTACATAGTCATAGCACTTAGATTGCGTTCAGGACACATTCCATCAAACAGATTTGGATTTCTCATGAAAAGAGTAGACTCCCCTAATTCTCAAACTTGTGGTGGTATTGATGATGTTCAACATATGTTGATGGAATGCGTCAAGAACAACACTGAAAGGCAAATCTTACTAAAAAAAATAAATTTAAACAAAATTAATTTAGGAATATTTCAGAGTATTTTATCAGAAACTGCATCAAAACAATCGGTATTAATTTATAAAGATAGGTAAGATTAGGTAAGAAGAAATTAAGTAAGTAGAACAGGTAGGTAAGATTTGTTTTTATAGTAATTTAAAGTTTAGATGTTATGTAATTGATTAAGAAGACAACACAGAGCTAACATGCTCACTATTGTTCTAAGCTCCTAAATAAATAAAGAGAAAAAAAAAACATTGCACACGTGCGAAGCCGGGGCAGGTCGCTAGTTTTATAATTAACATTATTTTTACTTATACCTATTTACATGTCAGACATAATCTCCTCCAATTGTTTACCTTTTACCTTACCTTACCTACCTTACCTTTTAAAAAATGCAGTTATAAGACCGCCTTGTTATATATATACATATATGTTTAGTTTAATTGTATCTGTCGTCTATCATTATATCTATCTCCAAATGAAGCATATTCTATCTATCTATCTAACTAAAAAAATAATCAACATATTACAAAGATCTACATGATGGTTAATTTGTTAGATTACAATCTAATTGAATTCATCCCAACACACTGGAACCTAAGTGGTCCCGAACAGTGCGGTTTCAGAGGAGTTTCCTCCCGCGTACACATAGATTGTGGAATGAACTACCTGCCGAGGTTTTCCCACGAGACTACAGCATGGGGTTTTTCAAGAAGGGTATATTAAGGTTTCTTAAGGGTCGGCAACGCGCAAGTGATACCCCTGGTGTTTCAGGCGTCCATAGGCTACGGTAACCATTTACCATTAGATGGGCCGTATGCTTGATTGTCACCATTGTAGTATAAAAAAAATCACATAAAAAAATATGAATCATCATAATCAGCATCAGCCCACTGCAGTCCACTGCTGGACTTAGGCCTCTCCCAAGGCACGCCACTGGGCACGACCTTCTGCCGTTCTCTTCCAGTTACTACCTGTAACCTTACATATATCGTCGCTCCTAGCGGGGCGTCCTACACTACGTTTGCCAATTCGCGTTGTCCACTCTAGAACACGTCTACTCCAACGAGCATCGGTTCTGATAGATATGACCAGCCCACTGCCACTTCAATTTACAGATACGAAGAGCAATATCGCTGACCTTATACCTTTAGACCTAAAAAATATTAATACTTACAAAGAATCCTGGCAGTGAATCACCCAGTTCCCTGAAGGGTTTCGTCTTCAGACAGTCTATGATTGCTTTGGAGTTATTGGTGGGGCATCCCACTAACTCTGCTTGTGTTACGGCTAATGAGTACAGATCATTTCGGTCCGGCAGCTGGTTGATGGGAGAACCGCTTATGGAGATAGCACGGTGGAATAGGCCTGCGAAATAATAATAATAATCTCAGGACAATTCATATAGCGCCATCTAGACCCAAGTTAAGCTTGTGTTATGGATACTAGATAACTGATATATATACATAGATATATATTATTTTCGTAAATACATACATATTATATATAGAAAACACCAAAACCGAAACAATCATACTCATGAATACAAATGTTTGCACCGTGCGAGGAATCGATCCCGCGACCATTGGAGATAAAGCAGTGCCCTAAACCGCTAGTCCACCGAGGCCGAACAAAATATAGACTAATAAATAATTCTAAGAGACATACCCTTTGTCATCGGCGAGATCATGTGCAGCATGACGCTGAAGGAGCCAGCGCTGCAGCCGGCGATGGTGACCAGGTCAGGATCGCCTCCGAATGCGCGGATATTTCGTTGCACCCAACGCAGAGCTACCACTTGGTCTTTGTAGCCGTTGTTACCGGGAGCCAGGGCATCGCCGGTGCTAAGGAATCCTATGGGATTAGGATTATATGGAGATTAGTAGAGAGAAAGAGAGAGAGGGAGAGAGAGAGAGAGAGGGAGAGAGAGGGAGCGAGAGAGAGGTAGAGAGAGAGATGGAGGGAGAGAGAGAGGGAGATAGAGAGAGGGAGAGAGAGAGAGGGAAGGAGAGAGAGAGAACAATATTATAAACGTGAAATTTTCTGTGTATGGATGTATAGATGTTTGTTACATTTTCAAGCTAAAACAACTGAATGCATTTTAATGAAACTTTACAATTATATTACTTAGGGGGCGTCCATAAATTACTTGAGGTTTTTTTAATTATTTGTCCCTGCCTCCCTCCTGGTGAGATGTCGTCAGATTTTATTCAACCCCCTGCCCCATCCCCCAATCACACATGAGATTTTTCAAAATGTGGGTTTCTTACTTCGACGCATTGGATTGGTATTGTAAAACAAAAAAATAATTGCTTCGTGCTTTTACTTACGACTAGTTAAGACTAGTAATCAATATTGCTGACAGTTATAAGTGTAATAAGCAATCTGGATTAAATAGACTAAAATAGTGTAAGCATTTTTTTGTTTCAATCAGAAAAAATATTCTGTGTCCGCCTTTCTCCAACGTAAGATTAGATGAGATTTTACTCGACCCCCTCACCCCCCTAAACATCTCACATAATGTATTGACGCCCCCTTAATAATATATACACATTAGAATAACACATCATACATATGTCAAGTAAGTAAGAAAAAATCTGACTAGTTGTTTGTTTTCCAATTCTACAAGTAGACATGACATGAAATGAAACATGTGTCGCAATGAAATATCATCTGTGCCAGAAGGAATATAGACAGTTTCAAAAGAGTTAATGATTGCACTAATAAAAGCTTACGTAACAATAACAAACTGATTTTACCTAAATGTCGTTTGGCTAAAGTTAGTAATTCGTTTTATGGCAATTGCGTAAGGTATTACAATAAAATACCAGAGTTTGTTATAAATCTGCCAGAAAAAAGATTTAAATGTCAAATAAAACAGTTCCTTTGCAAAAAAGCTTACTATAGAATTGAAGAATTCGTTAACGATAATAATGTTTTTGTAGAAAAACTTTAAATCCACAGCACTGACAATATTATCTAATTACATTAATAATGAGCGCGTAGCGACTTCTATGTTGATTATCGCATGCCTCTTACTTGTTATACTGTAATTATTTATATAAAAAAAACATCTATTAAAAAGAGCAACACACAAGTTTCTTGCTCATTCTTCTTGTGATGAATCTGCATTCCGAATGAGTGGTAGAATCAAAATATGACTATTCAAAAGTGCTTGTAATGAGTTTATTTGAATAAAGATTATTTCTATTTCAATATGGGTCCAATGTGTCCAATAGCAGTCGGAATTTGATCACCAATAATAATAATAATAATAATAATCTTAGGACAATTCACACAGCGCCATCTAGACCCAAGTTAAGCTAGCTAAAGCTTGTGTTATGGGTACTAGATAACTGATACAAATACATAGATCGTAAAGCGGTGTACTAGACCGCTGGACCACCTAGGTAATAGACCAATAGAGAAGATCGTAACGCTTCCAGTAGCGATAGTCAGATTTCCGCACTGAATATTTGTGGTCTCACACGTGCTAATTGTAGCGGAATTAAACAAAATATTCCATTGAGTAATGGAACGAACTTCCGCCTAATTCTATGAAGATTATTTACCAAGAGGTGGATGGACTGTGTGAGAGATGATATGGCAAGTAAGGGAGTGCAAACGAGATGACTGCGAACAGGGATGAATGGAAGAGAAAAACATATTACGACGACCACAAATAAATGGGATAAGGAAGAAGCAGATGATGATATTTACCAAGAGTTGCGAGTCTGTAGTTGATGGTGACGAGTACGATGTCTCTGTCGAGGAGGTAGTGAGGACCAGCGAGGTCGCTGCGGCCCGTCATGGAGTAGAATCCGCCCGCGTGGATGAAGAATATCACGGGGAGAGGTTTTGAACTGTAAACAGAGAAGTTTTTTAAATCTATACTAACACTAGCTTTTACCCGCGGCTTCGCATGCGTTAATTTATCCCCTTAGGGGTGCAATTTATCAAAATCCTTTCTTAGGGGATGCTTACGTTATATGCATGCAAAGTATCAGTTAATGTCACAGATGCCTATATAAATATTTATTGTAAATAAACTGCCTTTTATTTATGTATCTGGTATCTAGATACCAGATACATATACATAGATTTTTGTTCTGGGTACTAGTACCCAGAACACAAGTTGCTTAACATGGCGCTGTGTGAATAAATATTTATATAGGTATCTTATACTGAATTGGACGGTAGGGAGAAAATTACACTATAAAAAATTTGACGTTCATAAGCGGCTAAAATGTCCTATACGAATAAATAAATTTATGAATTTGTCATGCGAGGAATTCAACCCTATAACCAAAGAAAGTACAGCTCTATGCTAAACGGTTAAACCACAAAGGTTTTAAATGTTTCTTATCTGATTCAAATTATTTTTTACTAGAATATATCATGTTTACGTTAGTTTCGGTCAAAATGTAATTTAAATTTCATGGTAAAATTGAGTGTTTATATTCACACGAATTTGCGTAAATATATATAAAATAAAAAATAAATTCAACATTCAAAATGTCTTTATTCATGTAGGTCTATTACAGACTCTTATGATATGTCAAATCTACCAATCAGTTCGGAATGTTTTCTAGATGAGAAGAATTGACAACAAGAAACTCACTCAAATAAATATTGTACATGTTTACAATAATACAGATTCATTTTTAAATTCAAATTTGTGAGAATAGAGTGACCACCAGCATGTGCTATTGCAAAAGGAAATAGTCTAATCTGTGTTCGTAACGCGAACAGACCAGTCCCCACAAGCAGCACCCGGTCACGAGTATGACGGATGACCCGGCCCACCAACCCACCACAAATTTGAACTTTATGATTTTTAGCGAGCATGACTGTTTCAATTATGACGAATAGCATAAGCCAGTAGTAATATAGGTGTTATTGGGACCTGCTCGAAACGGAAAATATCACACCTCTACAGAAATCCGGCATCCTCTTATTCTTGTCCTAATTCCTTCTAAAATCCCTTTTAGCGGATAATTAGGCCTCGGTGGTCTAGTGGATTAGCACACCGCCTTACTTCCGATGGTCGCGGGTTCGATTCCTCGCACATACAAACATTTGTATTCATGAGTATGGTTGTTTGTAACGGTGTGGGTATTTTCCATGTATAATATGTATGTATTTACAAAAAAAATCTATGTATTTGTATCAGTTATCTAGTACCTATAAAACAAGCTTTAGCTAGCTTATCTTGGGTCTAGATGGCGTTGTGTGAATTGTCTGGGAGATTATTATTATTAATTCATCTGCAATTCCGCTTGAGTTGAAAAAAATATAATTGTATATGCTACATTCTTTCCAATGTTATTTAAAATTGAATCTGTATATCTGTAGATATTATGTTATCTGTGTCTGTAGTAATAATAAATGTACAATAAGCTCATTTGAAAATAATCAAAGCTGAGTTCTTTTTAGCTCGATAGCACTCCGTACTGACGGTAGATTTGACATATCAAAATCAAAATAGACCTACATGAATATTACTTTAATTTTGATTCAAATTATTAATTTGATTCAAGATTATTATTTATATATTATAAGCGCGAAAGTTTGTTAGTATGAATGTTTATTACTCTTTCACACAATAACTACTGAACGGATTTTAATGAAACTTTATAGTACTATAGCTCATGAATAAGAATAACACATAGCCTATATTTTATATTGAAATAAAACGCGGGCGACACACGGGTAGAGCTAGTATATTATAATTTGGTTCAAAAATTTAATTAAGCGATAATAAAATCCATACCTGTTCTTGTTAGGAGTGTATACATTGATGGTGAGACAGTCCTCGTCGATGTAGTAGGTGGGAGGTACCGGCAACGGACACGCTGGTCCTTCCTCGCTAGCATTCACCTCATTTGTGTACTTCAGAATAGGTACTGGAGGCTGCAAAAGAAGAATAAGCAAGAAACTTGTGTGTTGCTCTTTTAAATAAACTTTGTCATAAGCAAATACACTTTAACAAGGAGAAGGCATGCGACAATGAATCTGCTCTGCTCTTATTATATAAAGGGTTATTTTAACTGCGCCGTAAAGGGCAATGGAAGATCCCAGCAGCAGCACCAAAAGAGCAACCAGAACCAGAGGTTCCCAAACTTTTTTGTGTTGTAGACCAAAGGGTCTAAGGCCAAAAGGTCTCTGGCAAAGGCCATATTTTTCGGTTTTGGGTAGACCCCTCATTCTTACCTGATATTGATTTTTGTAAATTTCTAATTGTAGTAAAGTTTAGTGTTAAAAACAACAAGATGACCACTGTCGTAAACCCCTTGCAGTTTGTCATTGACCCCTGGGGGTCGATATAGACCACTTTGGGAATCACTGGTCTATAGGCATCACAATATGTGTATAGTCTGTAACATTATAATGTAATGTAACGGTTACCACTTTTCCATCCTGTGGATCACTTTTCCCATCGTGTGGATCTTTTATCATCGTGAGATTGTTACATAAAAAATCAATTTTACATGTAATTTACCTTAAATCGCAACTCTCCAACAGGTGGTTCAGCGTATCTGATGCCGCGGAAAGCTTTAAACTGCCGTCCACGGCGCGTCTCCATCCAGGACCCTCGAATGGCACCAGCGGGGGTCACCACGAGGGGACCATCTTTGGACGGCTGTCCACTTGAAGCAGTGGTAGGTTGGTCATTTTGGGGTGATTCTGTTAGAAATATATTATTAACTAGTTGCATCTGCGACTTCATTCGCATGGAATTTAACTTTAATTTTCTAAAATAAAAGTAGCTTCAGTTACTCCTTATTACATCGGCTACCTTTCAAAAAAAGTCCCGTCAAAATCGGTCCAGCCATTTCAGAGATAAGCCGAAACAAACAGACAGACAAAAATTGTAAAAAATATTATTTTGGTGTATGTACCGTATTTATATTCATAAGCATGTAGTAAAAAACGGTTATTTCAATTTTACAAACAGACACTCCAATTTTATTTATATGTATACATAATACTATCTATATATTTAGTTTGACATACAGTCAGTACTGATAAAATACGGGTAACTAGAAAAAATATTTTGACATACCCAAATCATTATCTTTTTATTTTATTTATATGTATAAATTATATTATTAATAGTTAAACGGAGTTTAACACGAATTTAACAATAATTTTATCTGACTTTCAGATATGACGGCTGGTAGGGATCAGTGGAAGAAGATGACGTACTGCGCCGACCACAAATAACGGGATTAATGCAATGGGAGTAATGCAATAGAGATGAATATAGCTTTTACATCAGAATAGATTATAAATTTCAAACGAGCGAAACCTTAGGTACAACTAGGGGTGAATGAATGTATCTCTCTCGGCTAGGTTACACTAGCCGTAGTCAAGAGCTAACTGGAGTAAAACCACTTAAATTTAATAAAAGAAAATGTAAATTTAAAGAAATAAATAATCCTGAACAATTAACACAGCGCCATCTACTCACACGGAAAACAGAGCTTGTATTATGGTATTAGACAACTGACATAAATACTAAAACACTTGGATATAATACATAGGAACACCCAGACCGATAAAGATAATCATACTTATGAATACAAAAGTTTGCACCATTCGAACAATCGAACCCGCGACCATCGGAAGTAAAGCGTTGTGCTAAACCGCTAGACTACAGAGGTCGGTAACTTCACATACAAAATATTTTCCTTTTCTTTAATGCTATCCAACTTTATAAATACCAACCTGTGGTTGCAATTGACGCGTGATCCACCTTACTTCGACATGCGAGAGTTTCACGGGCAACAAGACAAATGAGTAATGTTTTTAACAACATTTTCCTCGAGTGATCGCGTTCTACTGAAACGGGATTGCCATTAATTCTGTTTATATACTTAGATACATATATATAAATGTGTCACGTTTACGTATGAACAGCATCATATTTATTCCAGCCGTGCATCATTCCATTATAGGGTCTCCTAATAAATGGATGATTTTATTGTAAATACTAAGGCATGGCTTTATTCCCAGATCTAGCAATGTTTGAAAGGCACTGTAAATAAATGTATACTAGCTACCTAAGTATATCTATCACTTATCTAGTATCCATTGGGTAATACTACTTTGTACTACGGTTACCAGTTTTTGTTATGTGGTCTATCACCTTATTTTCCATTCTGTTGACATAAAAATAACGTATTCAGACCAATAAACGATAATTCAATAACAATTACAATTGTTATCTGATAATTTATTCACGCCGTCTGTTCTGTTCATTTGCGAACAATAAGGAAAACTGAAAGCGTTATGGTCTACTGGTATACTACGCAAATTTAGAACGAAAAGTCGCGAATTCCAATCTAGCTGACACAAAAAAAAATCTATCTAATTAGGTTATATTTTGCTAAGTCCATTTCGGATTTGGACGACAACTCAGTATAATGCTGAAAATATGGTTTCTAGTGCGATTTTCTTTTATTTAATACCCTTAACGCAAGCGCTGTTTAGATTGGGGCTAGATGCAGCGCCATCTGCAGCCCCAATCTAAGCATGTGTATTATTAATAAATACATTCCATACGATTTCCGGTATCTAGGTTATCTCCTCCAAAGCAATGGTGAATTAGACAGGACCATAAAGCATAGAATTAACGCAGGATGGATGAAGTGGCGGCAGGTTACGGCAACGATGTGTGACTCGCGTGTTCCCCTTAAGCTTAAGGGGAAAATTTACAAGACCATGATCCGGCCTGCTGTCTTGTATGGATCAGAGTGCTGGCCCGTAAAGGCGACGGATGAAAGACGACTGCATGCAACTGATGAGAATGTTGAGGTGGATGTGTGGTGTGACAAGAATGGATAAGATAAAGAATGAATACATTAGAGGAAGTATGAAAGTGGCACCGGTGTCAGAGAGGTTGAAGAGTAATCGTCTATCATGGTATGGATATGTAATGCGTAGGAACGAGGATAATATTTTAAGGAAGGTGTTACATATAAATGTGGATGGTTATAAGGGCAGAGGAAGGCCGAAAAAAAGATGGATGGACGGTGTGAAAGATGATATGGTAAGAAAGGAAGTAAATAACGCGATGACTGCGAACAGGGATGAATGGAAGCGAAAAACATATTATAACGACCGCAAATTAATGGGATAAGGAAGAAGCAGATGATAATGATTCCATAAGGTCACATTCGTTGGCCTGTTTATCAGTCTAGGTACACAAAAAACTAAACATAACGTTTTAATGAAATAATCTACTTCATTTAAAATGTGCCAATGCACTTACTAACACCACCTTTGTTATTAACAAGTCTTTGTGAGTAACTAGGTAATGTTCAATTAAGATTTCCGGTAACTTAATACTAACTGACTATTTTAATAGACACACATGTAGGTGTAGGTGGGGTGTTGGATGTAGGTGTTGCATCATCCAGACCAGATATGATCATATATTCGAAAAAAACTAAAGGGGTAGAGCTCACTGTACCATGGGAAACAAATAGACCTAAAGACCCTGTGTACAAGACTCCTCAAATCCGGGCCGCTGGTACAACAATTCCTAATTTTTAAATATTTATATTTTATACTAACTTTTGCCCGCGGCTTCGCTCGCGTTAATTTATCCCCTTAGGGGTGGAATTTTAATCCTTTCTTATACGTCATAGTAGCTTTATAGCAAAGGGTGGAATTTGTGAAAATCCTTCATCATATTTTATCCCTTTGGGGGTAGAAATAATTAATTCCTTTCTTAGGGATGCCTACGTCATAGTCTAGTTATTTTATATATATATAGATATATGTCAGTCACCTTAGAGTTATTTATATATATATAGATATAGATCGGTTGCTGTAGGTTTGTTATTTTTCACTATTTGAAAATAATGATTTTATTTATATATTTTGTCACCATACAGATTTTATGTAACTACATATCTTCAATATTTAATTAATTAGGTATATTTAAATAGTGCTTCTCTGGATGTTTTCAAGAGAAGAATATGTACGTGTATATATACAAGTTATTATGTGTTAAGTTTTTCAAGTGTACAATAAAGAATAAATATTTTTAAGTACAGTACTTACGTGTATTAATAAAATACCTACTTTTTACTCTAATCTATTGTTAACTTATTATATGTTGTCTTATTGGCGGGTAAAAGTTAGTGTTATATGTATAAACCCACTGTTGTATGTATGAATTTCATTCAGTGCACTTGATGACACATGGGAATTTCTATTGTTCTTATTATTTCATCAGCTCAGGAGGAAAATTGCTTATATATATATATATATATTCGTTATCTATCAATTATGTCTGAGAACTTCATGGTCAAGTCAAAGACAAAATGAACTACTTTACATATTATCTTTTACATTATTCTTTCTTTATTCTTTATATACAATAACTACATGCCGATACCACATTTGTTTATTTGTTTGTTAACATTTTCTATAAAAACGCTCAAGCCGTCTTTAAGACATGAAATTGTTACAGATGTTCTTGATTGATTATCCACGTAAGACTGAAGAAATCTTTGAAAATTGGGGTGGTATTCTAAAGGAATAATTATATTTTTTGTTCAAATATACCATCTGTAATCATCTTTTAATTAATTTATTAAAAGAACAATAGATGATGTAAATGCTTTATATTTATTATTGGATTATCGATACTTGGTACATACAAGTCTTTACATAATACATATATTAATATATTCATATAGGACATTTATTAATACTTAATTGTGAATGTTATTACTATAGTGGTTAACAGTACTGCCTTTTAGACTTTAAAGGTCGTCAGTTTGAATCTGAAGCTCTGTATCAATTAATGTTTCCAATTGGCAACTGGATGGATAATGGAATCAACTGAACCAAACCAAATTAATACTAGAGACGGTCGTTTTGCTTTGTAATGCAAGTAAGAACTTATCTTCTTGTTCTTTCTTTCTCTTCTGTTTCTGCTCTCCTAATTTGGCGCCAGAACAATCTGACTTGGGTTGTCGGGTCGGGCAATTTTTCCACAGCGACAAGCTTGCTCTTACTGGTCTACCAGGTGGCTGGAGGAGGACGTCCTCTACCTCTTTTCCGTTCAGGTAGTTTTAAGGCTTTTTGGCCCCATAATTTCTGGTCAGTACGCATTACATGGCTGTATGGCCATCATCTGAGACGGCTTTCAGTAATTTTGTCCGTTATTGGGTCCACTTTAAGTAAAAACTTATGCTTTAGGAAATATTTATTCAAATCAACTTAAGTTTTGAATAGTCACCCATTCGAAAAGCAGACTCTAGAAGAACTAGCAAGAAACTTGTGTATTACTCTTTAAATTTTTACGTGTTACGCTCTAAATAAATATAGTTCAGCATTACATATTTAGGATTTTGTGTGAGGATCAGGATCATAAGCGCATAATGACGTGTAAATAGAATTCATGTTGGAAGGAGAAACAGATGTTTTATTAGTTAAACAATATTTTAACAATACTAGAAATTTTACGAATTTGCTACACACATACAAATTAATATCTAGTCGAATACTATTGTACATAATTTAATTTGTTTCAATGGGATACAGTTCTTCCCAAACGTTGAATCTGTCTTCGAACATGTTCTTTTCAATTGAGAACTGCTTGTCAAATTTGAGGTACTTGTGCGCGGTTGGTGTCATGGCGGGCCACTGGAGAGTTAATAGCTCGGGTAGCTCATTGCTCATATTGTACCACAAGTAATGGACTATTTCATGTTTTTTTTTAATTAAATTAAGACCCCGCTTATCCCGGGGGATACGATAACATAAAGAAACAGCGTTATTGTTATCGCAAGTGTAGATATAGATCGGGTAGCTTATTGCCTCCAGGACAATAAATTCGGAAGAAATTAATACAATAAAATCTAAAACTTCAACTGTTATATATGGTGGAGACTAAAGTCGTATACGTCAGGCAGGTATTGGCCTTCAACCAACTACCGTCTTTGTAATATCTTCCGCGATTTTAACGGCTAACTGCGGCTACCAGCATTAGAATAGTTCAAAAGAAAAGGTGTCCAATGATTTTGTTTCTTCGACAATAATTAGGGAAAATGCCAGGAACAAGTCTCAAAAAGAACAACTTACCCAAATCGAGCGAAATTGTACCAGATAGCAGTCATTCTGTCTACGATGAGGGAGTCGGTACTCTCGCTGACATTGATGGTTGGGAACTGGTAGCTCAGCGTGAATAAATAAATCAGGTCATCATGATGGGCCGTTCCTGGAATGAACTTTTATTAACTTCTAATATAACGATAGCTTTTAGTTTAGGACATTTACGAAAAATTTTTTGGTAATTTTTTTAGCCGTTTATGAACGTAAAATTTTTATATTATATGTTACATATTCCCAACCGTCCAGTTAAGTATAGAGATCCAATTGAGAAGAATTTCAATAATGAGTCTTATTATTATTATTATGACTGGTCATATTGCCAATGTAATCTTATATATAAAAAGAAATTGTTACCTATTAATATTTCTTTGTGATAAGAGAAAATAAATTCACAGTTTTGCTTGTGTTCGGTTGTTTTCTAATAAAGATAGCGGAACGGTAAATTATAATAAAATCTCGGTATTAAGATTTGCCAAATGAGTATTTTGTTAAAAGTTACAGATGAATTGTTGGAATACTAATTCTGGATTCTAAACAATTGTAGACACAGGGTAGTAACGCTGTAGATATAATTTGGACTGTTTCTCCTGGATACTATAAGTGTGAAATAGAAAGAACATTTGAAATAGTTTAGAATTGAAACCGACATGTAGCGTATTACGCTCATTCAAAAGATATAAATTGGAAGTTCCTTGTAGAGCGTTAACCAGTGTGTGTTGTATAAATACCTATTGGTTTTTTGGTGACAGGATCCTCATAGTGGCTATGGTTGCCAATATAAGCAAGTTGGTAGTAGTAGACCTTATGTGGCGAGTGACGGCACATTAGGTTGGCCATTCTGTCAAAAACACAGAAAACAAAGTTCACTGACAAAAAGACAAGGAGACCCACTTGATGTCAAATAGTAACCATCACCTATAAAGCCTATATCATTAAGAACATTAGCATTAACATACAATAGAATTCAATTTATTGCAAGACACACTACAGCGTACATTAATAATGATTATAAAATCTTAAGTAAAGAAAACATGCAAAAATAAATAAAAACGTAATATCGAAATATACATTTATATGAAAAAGTCTGAACAACAAACATTATAGCAATAAAGTAGATGTTACTAAACATATTATATCGCAGGACTTTATATATAGCGCTTTATATACCCGTCCAAAAATATATCTTCAGGTTTTGTTACTTCAGAGGAAGATATGCCTTGAGTATTAATCAAGATCTATTATAAGGAGTTTTTAGTAGTTGTATTAATCTTTCTTTGTTAACATTAGTTTTTCTATTAATATATCTAAAAATGTATTTAAGTGCAATAAAGAATATTTATTAGTATAGGTCTAGGTAATTGTTTTAAATTTCGTTGCTATCATAATAAGACTAGAGTTAAATATATTACATTTTCATGAGTATCACTTTCCAAACTTACTTATGCACGCCGAAGCCTATAAATGCGTCGGAATACAACTTTCCAAGGGCATCTAACGTGTCCTGATCATCGGACAGCGGTTTGTTTCCAAGGTATCCCAGTCTTAACCTATATCCAGAATTCACTGCATTCTCGTTCTTTGGTAGTTGAAAATTGGCTGGGGCGTAAAGATCCCAATTTGCATCCAAAGCTTCACGAAGAGTTGCGTTTTTCACGATAGCTGAGGATGGTATGTTTTAAAATAAGAGGTATGGTTCAAAATAAGAGGCTTTATCCCAAAAGGATCCAAGAACATTAAATGAGACCCTAATTATCGATGATAATATCATATAGTATAGATAGTCATCGCTAATGTAGGATAAAATTGTTTCCTTCTTATTTCTACTAACTTAAAAAATACTGCATCCATGATAATTGTAAGTAGACAATTGTCAAACATAACCATACCACATACCATATCGTGAATACTAGATACATGACCAAGAGTTTCTATCTCTTTAGATACATTGAAAACATCGGTGATCTCGCGGTTTCGACCATCGCTTTACTTCTGATGGTTGCCGATTTCTCGCACGATGCTAACGCTTTCTCCACCCTAGCTTATTAGCTCCGGGAAAATAATATCTAAAACCTCAAATCAAACTTCATGCTTAATACTTACAGATAGCACTCCAGAAAAATTCATCATGCGTTTGACTTATGATATGGGGGACAGCGTGTATCTTTCCTTGTCGAATAGCATCCGAGGGATCCATAGTAAGGAAACGCTCTTGACCAAAGTCGCGCTCAACCACTGGCCTCCAGACGGTACGAGAATAAAGCGGATCCTTAAAAGAACATTAATCATATACCTTCCCGATTGTAAACCCAAATGGGTAATCAAAGGCATTATCAACATCCCCGCCATGGACGCAACATTTCACATACATTCCTCTATTACAAGAATCCGTTAGAAATATTCAATGTCTGATAAAGTTTTTTTTCTGGCAGTAGGATTGGAACTACATTTTTGCATCATAGTTTTAGTAGTGCCTCGCTCTTACTTAGCATGAAGTTCAAGGAATAAACCATAAATATATCACAAACTTCTTTGTTATTTTCCGTTTACGATGGCGTTACTCGGATACTTACAAAGAATCCAGGCAATGAATCTCCAATCTCCCTGAATGGCTTTGTCTTCAAGCAGTCAATAATAGCCTTGGAATTGTTTATGGGACATCCCACGAGCTGTGCTTGTTTCACTGCCAGAGGATACAGGTCATGCTGTACTGTTGATTGACTAGCGGGAGAACCACTCATAGATATGGCGCGATGAAATAGGCCTAAAAATAAAATTCAAAGTAAGAAATTCTGCTTATTTTGCTTTTTTATGGACCTAAATAAAGAAACTGTTAGGAAACTAGGAAATGTTCTATAATATTAATTTTCTAAGATCTTTGTTACAGAGCACAGTAACATTTCTTCCAAATACAGGTAGTATTTGGAAGAAATGTCACTGGGCTCTGTAAAAAAAATGGAATAGGTAAGTTTAGAATACATTGTACTTAAAACCTTTTTTAAATGTTATCTTCAGATGGTGCAGTAAATTTGTTCTGACTTGATACTTGCAGAAAACAATTTAGGTGTCCACAAAATTGTTTTTACCTGACTATTTACCAAAGGATAATCTTAAAAAATACTTAAGCATTTTATAATTTAAGTTAGTAATACGAGCTGTAATCACGAGAACAGCGCTGTAAGATACAGCTAGCTGTTCAGTACAACTTTTACTAAACATACCTTTAGACATAGGAGAGATCATATGGAGCATGACACTGAAAGATCCAGCGCTGCAGCCAGCGATAGTAACAAGGTTGGGATCTCCACCAAACGCACGAATATTGCGCTGCACCCAACGCAGAGCCGCCACCTGATCCTTGAAGCCATTGTTCCCAGGAGCAAGAGCATCGCCGGTGCTAAGAAAGCCTATTAGAATTTGAGATTCCTGCATTATTTTTTCATATGTCATCGGAAATTAATAATTATCATTGTACTGTGCATGTTGTAATGATCGTAACTGTTGACATACCTAATATTGCTGGAGATCCTACTAGGAGATATTTACCACATTAATGATACGATCACAAACGCCACTACAAACGTATCACGGGTGGAAATATCGGAAACTCGAGAGCATTTTCTTACTTTGATGAGTCTGTGTTTATTGTGTTTTATACAGTTTGACGGTCTCGGTGGTCTAGCGATTAGTACTTTAGTTCCGATGGTCGCGTGTTTATTTTTCGCAGGACACACACATTTCTAATCTTAAGTAAGTCTGCTTGTATATATATATTATGTATTTATGTATGTATTTACAAAAATTATGTATCTAAGTATATCTATCACTTATCTAGTACCCATAACACAAACTATGCTTAGCTTAGGACTAGATGGCTTGTCCAACGATATTATTATTATTTCTTTTATTACCAAGAGTCGCAATCCTGTAGTTGATGGTGACGAGTACGATGTCTCTGTCGAGGAGGTAATGAGGACCAGCGAGGTCGCTGCGGCCCGTCATGGAGTAGAATCCGCCCGCGTGGATGAAGAATATCACAGGGAGGGGTTTTGTGCTGTAAACACAGAGAAATTTTGTAAATCTATACTAATATTAGCTGAAGAGTTTGTTTGTTTGAAAAATTCATTTTTGTTGGATAGTCCATTTACCGAGGAAGGCTTTAAGCTATATATGTTTCAAATGAGAAAATATAATTGAAAGACAACAATATTCCTTACTAATATTATAAATGCGAAAGTAACTCTGTCTGTCTCTCTCGCTTTCACGCAAAAACCACTAAATCAATTTATAGGAACTTTGGTACACAGAGAGTCTAGACTGTGACAAAGAACTATGACTACTTTTTAATGCGAAAAAGGTGGTAAGGGGTTCAAAAGGGAGATTAAAGCTGAAATAAAAGATTATATGGAAGTATCGTCATTTTATGCAGACGAAATCGCGGGCACAGGCACAGGCACATCTATATATTAATACATGAAGAAAAATTTTGAATCCCCTTTTACGAAATTTCGCATACTTACAGTTTAGAGAAGGAATGTAGAATGCTAATATTTTTTAATTATTTATAAAAAGTACATTAAATAAAAAAAAACATTATACACAGTACTAGTGTATTTGACACACACACGCATATATACCGTTATACAGTTTTGTTTATTGTTAAAGCCTGTATTGAAATTGATCATAGATTAATATTGTTTGTATTTACTATTATTAGTCTATAGTCTTTTTGAATGTTAAATAAATTATTGTCAAATTTTGACCACTACGGCGACTACCAGTACAATTATTTTTTATGTTCGCATTTTGACCACTGAGTAACCACTAGTACCTCCAATTAATTTTCTATACGCCTTAAATTACAACCATCGTTGGCTGCATCGACCCCAGCTCTCTGTAAACCCACATTCCCATATTGATACAATAGAATAGAATAGAAAATCCTTTATTCAAATAAACTTCATTTAAGCACTTTCGAATAGTCATAACATTTTTTTTAATCTACCGCTCATTTGGAAAGCTGTTTCATCACAAAAAGACCGAGCAAGAAACTTGTGTGTTGCTCTTTTAAATAATAATTTTTCAAGTTCAATAATAAAATTACGTTAAGTTAATTTGAATAAACATTAGATCTTTCTATTCTAGGATCTTATGGAATACCATGTACCTATTATGGGACTTCTCATTGATTGGCGTGTATACATTGATGGTGAGACAGTCCTCGTCGATGTAGTAGGTGGGAGGTACCGGCAACGGGCACGCTGGTCCTTCCTCGGTCGCATTCACCTCATTTGTGTACTTCAGAATGGGTACTGGAGGCTGCAAAGAGGAGGCAAGGAGTTAAGAGCAACTGTATCTTGTTGCCATTGATCAACAAATATCATCTATAATAAGAAACATAGTTTTTAATTCATATACTGTTTTAAACTTGACGCGGTCATTATTTATACGTATAATTAGTAACAATCACGGGATCTTACCACGTTTTATATTTATTTGCTGAGTTTCCGATATTTTGGCAGTGTTTCAACCACCATGATCACGGGTAAACTGGTAAAGCATGATTTTTACTAGTTTTTAATTCAATTCAAAAGAATGTAGGTCTATTACAGACTCTTATGATATGTCAAATCTACCGTCAGTTCGGAATGATTTCGAGATGAGAAGAACTGACAAGAAATTCAGCTCGTATTCTTTTCAAATAAATGTTGTACATGTTTACAATAATACAGATTCATTTAAATTCAAATTTGGGAGAATAGAGTGTATGAATAGAATTGTACTGTTTTGCAGTTTATTTAAACTTTCTCGTAGATTTGTATGTTCATAGGAGACTAATATCCCAATTTGGTAATCAGAGTGGTGAGATTATGGTGAGAGCAGCACTTGTGATGTCTGCATGTATGTCTGTCGACTCAAAGAATTTACATAGAACTAAGGTACCCCTTAGTTCTATGTAAATTCTTTGAGTCTAGAGAATATATTAGATACCTCTAATATATAAAAAGCCTGTGTCACAGTGTTTGTAATAAAACTCCTCTGAAACGGCTTGACCGATTCTTATAAAAACATATGTGTATATTAGGTCTGGAAATAACATTTAAACAATATTTTTAAGGGTGGTCCACGCCAATTTTTTTTTACAATTTTCCAACAATTTTTTTAATTACTTCAACGTACATATAAAAATCTTTGTATATGTCATTTAAAGAGAACTTACATAATATACATACTTATGAATACAAATTTTTAACCGTGCGAGGAATCGAACCCGCGATCATTTAAGGTAAGGCAGTTTTTTAAACCACTAGACAACCGTAGCCAAATAAACACAAATATCTAGAAGGTTACCTGAAACCTGAGTTCTCCTACAGGTGGTTCAGCATATTTGATGCCGCGGTAAGCCTGGAACCGACGTCCCCGGCGCGTCTCCATCCAGGATCCTCGGAACGATCCAGATGTGGAAACCGTCAGCGGATCATGAGCTGCTTGACCAGCAGAAGCAGCTGTTGATATTTATGAAGAAGATAAGAAAGAAGAAAAGAATATGAATTACTTAGAATAATATTCATTTTGTGAAACTTAATTCAAGTAACAATCAAATCAAAATATCTTTATTCATGTAGGTCTATTACAGACTCTTATGATATGTCAAATCTACCGTCAGTTCGGAATGATTTCGAGATGAGAAGAACTGACAAGAAACTCAGCTCGTATTTTTTATTTTAATTTCGAAATGAGAAAAATTTACAACAAATTCAGCTCAATTTTTATATTTTATCTATGACCCTGACTGTGTCTCTTGATTAAGAAAGATAGGTATTTAAAATATGATAACCACTATACACAGTTTAATTTTTATCCAAAAAAAACTTATAATTATTTTATTTATTTATTTATAACTAGCTGTAAAAATTAAACTTTTTTTTTCTAAAATGCATCAGTTACCTCCCAAAGAAAGTCCCGTCAAAATCGGTCCATCCATTTCAGAGATTAGCCGGAACAAAAAGACCGACAGACAGACAGACAAAAATTGTAAAAAATGTTATATTGGTGTATGTACCGTATTTATATTCATATCCATTTAGTAAAAAACGGTTATTTCAATAATACAAACAGATACTCCAATTTTATTTATATGTATACATAATACATGGACACTGAAGGCAGAAAAGCCAAAGAAATTCATAGACAACTTGTAAATATACAAAAAAAAGATCTATAATCTCAGGACAATTCACACAGCGCCATCTACACTCAAGTTAAGATAGCTAAAACTTGTGTTATGGGTACTAGACAACTGATATAAATAATGGATACATTTTTTTTTGTAAATAAATACATATTATAAATTAAAAACACCCAGACAGATACAAACAATCATACGCATGAATGTTTGTACCGTGCGAGGAATCGAACCCGCGACCATCGGATAGTAAAGCGGTGTGCTACACCACTAGACCACTGAGGCTGTCAAATTTATGTTATTATATTATATGATTCATATATATGTTACCTCTGGATGCGCTTGCCTCCACATCATTGCAATGCACCAGTGTGTAAATAATTACACACATTAATAATGTTTTCACAAACATTTTCCTTAAACGCTCTCTAACTGATTGAAACAAAAGGCAAATTACAACGGTTTATATATGTACGCATTGTACATATATATGTGTAACGTGACACTGTATATGTGCTTCATATTATAAGAATGACTAGCTACAATAGAAATGACAAAAATAATAATAATAAATGCTCTTAGATTCTGCCCGCATTCTCTCCCTGGGGCCCTGAACCCCGGCCGACTGTGCTCCTGCCGGGGTTATGTTGCCATCTCCTCTCCTTAAGAGGGGAGATGAGAATTTTTGGGAAAAAAAAATAATGTAACTATTTATTTGACGACCTCGGTGGTCTACTGGGGTTCGATTCCTCGCACGGCACAAACATTTGTATTCCTGAGTATGATTGTTTGTATCGGTCTGGGTGTATTCTATGTATAATATGTATGTATTTACGAAAAAAATGTATCTATGTATTTGTATCAGTTGTCTAGTACCCATATCACAAGCTTCAGCTAGCTCAACTTGGGTCTAGATGGCGCTGTGTGAATTGTCCTGAGATATATTATTATTATTGTTCGTAAAGAAAAAATAATTTACAAAAAAAGACTATACCTACAAAGATCCAAGCTATAGATTAAATATACTATAGTATAATCTATACATATAAATATAATTGGAGTGTCTGTTTGTAATATTGAAATAACCGTTTTTACTACATACGTATGAATATAAAAACCGTACATACACCACACATACAAAACAACAATTATAAAAAAAAAATTTTTTACAATTTTTGTCCGTCTGTCGTCTGTTTGTTCCGGCTAATCTTTGAAATGGCTGGACAGATTTTGACGGCACTTTTTTTGGCAGGTAGCTGATGTAATAAGAAACAACTTAGGCTATTTTTATTTAAAAAAAATAAAGTAAATTCCACGCGGACGAAGTCGCGTGTACAGCTAGCAATAAATAATACTTAACAACCTCGTATTTTTGTAGTCGGTTAAACCTACTTATCTTAATAATTATGTACGACAGTGCCGTCTGGAGTGCAGTGTGGATTCCCCGACAACCATTCCATTTTCCTTATTACAGAACCGGTTTCTTTGTAATTATACATACCTCTACCAGTTTGGTATAATTTGTGCATACTTAAATCGTATAACTTTAAATTAATTGGCTATATAAATAGAACTTGTCTTGGTTTCCGAGAGAATGTTTGATTTAAATAATAATAATAAACCTAGGCTATTAACATATATGTTCGTTCGGTGCGAGGAATCGAAGCTGCGACTATTGGAAGTAAGGCGGTATGCTAAACCGCTGGACTACTACTACTACTGGTAACAATATATTAATACATATATGTACATGTGTGTAGTATATATATAAGTTACCTACGACTTAGTCCATGTGGAATTAAGTTTTTTTTTAAAATCATATACATAAAAATTTAAAAACAGAAGTAGTCTAAGTTACTCGTAACATTAGCTATCTGTGAGTACAAGTCCGGTCAAAATCGATCCAGCCGTTTTAGAGAATAGCAAGAACAAACAGACAAATCGATAAAAATTTTTGTAATAAGTTTTTTGATGTAAATACCGTATATACTTTTATGTGTATTTAAAGAAATTTAAAGAAAATTAATTTTAAGTTATGGACTGACACTTGAATTTTATTTATTGGGTCTGCTCTAATCACTACCACGTCGAGTGGAATGAGTCATGCTCACTAAAATGTCCAGACATGTGGCGGCGTGGTGGGCCGGGTCATTGGGCTCCCTAAAATATGGTCGAGCGCAGTGGTGGCTGGCTCATCCGTCGTACTCGTGAACGAGTGCTGCTTGTAGCGACTGGTCTGCTCTTATCACTACGACTGATTTAATCTTATTGTGTATTTATATTTGACCCAAATAAATTAGTGCTAGTTGGTAGTTTGTATTCACACGTTTTGACTTGTAAATGTAAACTTACAAGGATTATTTAAAAGAGCAACACACAAGTCTCTTGCTCGCTTTGCTTGCTCTTATTCCTGTGAGGAGAAAGATTTCCGAATGAGCGGTAGATTGAAAAAATTGTGATGACTATTCAAACGTGCTTCAATGTAAGTTTATTTGAATAAATGATTTTCTATTCTATTCTATTTATTTGTACGTATAGTACTGTGACAAAAATGTTGCATTTGAAAAATATAAAATCAAAAAGAAAGTAAGTGCAACACAACACTAGAAAAAGGGCGAGCACAATAGATCTATGTAGGTCGCAGTGCTACAGGTGCTACACATCTGACAATAGCCCAAACATGCCAATAAAAAAAAAGATTGTGAGTATAGATAGATAGATGAGAGATAAGTACTTAATGGATTTTGATGAAACTTTACAGTAACATAGCTTATACATTAGAATAACGTATAGGCTATAAGTTTCATGCGAGTGAAACCTCGGGCGCATCTAGTGCAAACTATAGTATGATGATCTTGAATTTACGAGAATAAAAAATCGCCTACATTCTTGACTCTCATCTATTTCCGCTGCCAAGCAGCTGATTGAAGCAGAAGCTGAAGCAGATTTGACAGCTGTCATTCTCGTGAATATGAATGACTCAACGAGCAAAACATTAAAGCTATGTCCACGAGGGTGAATATACTATTTAAAAAATAAAATGAAATCTAAACGAAACAATATGAAATAATTAAATAATGGAACTAGAAGTTGGAGTTACAAACTAGAGTGATATGCGGGAAAGAGAAGGAAGCATTATGTCGTCTCTAGCGCACGCTGCTGGCGTCATGCGGCCGGCTGCGAACGGCTAGTGAGAACACCATTTGTCACATTCCGTCAGTTATTTACCATTCCAATAAAAAAAACTATTATAATTTCAATAATTTATTGACACATTTATCATCATACCCGTGACTTCGTCTGCTTTTTTTAATACAAAAAATAAACTATATCCTTTCTCATGATGCCATATATAAGATCTGTTCAGTCGATTTTTCTCGAAAATATAACAAACATACATTGTACGATCTAGCATCGTACATTTTACACAGACTCCATAAAAGGATAGGAGATTCTCAATTCGGATGTATTTTTTTTAATGTTTGTTACCTCATAACTCCATCATTCGATCAATCCGATTTGAGATTTTTTTTTTTTATTTCAATGAGTATACGTTCAGATTGGTCTCATTTTTGAGTGGTTACAGTCGGTTTTATTTGAATAAAATTATCATATTTCACTTAAATAAGTTCGCATTCAGTAACCAAGAATGCCGCGCCAATTCATTTATTATTTAGGAGTTTAACTATCAATTCAAATATACAGTTTTATTTATCAGTATCATTTTACAGTTTCAGCACAGATCCGAGTGGCGCCTAACTGTTTTAAAACAGCTGGAGAACTTTGAGGAGAACCGTCTGAAGAGCTTGGACGTGAAACGTTACGCCAGCAAGACTCGTGTTAGGTGCTCCTTCACCTATACTTGCAATGATTCTGGCCAACTTTGCTGTACTTAATGCGACCGAGACTTTAAAAATAAACTTGGTTTCGTTAGTTACATGAAAGGAAACAACAGTGAGTTGCTGTTGCCGAATTTACGATAAGAAGGACATCATCGTCATAGTTTTGGTATACCCCGAACAGGTCAAGATCGCTGGAAAGCATTGGACGCGAGCAGCGACAGATCTCCGTGGAGATTTCTGGACGAGACCTTGTTAAGCAGTGGATGTCTTCCGGGCTGAAATTATGATGATGATGATACCCCGAACAGACAGACAGCTTCTAGCATTGCAACTAATTAACTAATAGTAAATACAGTCTATCAATACAACACAGAGTATAACTCCTCCCATATCTTCATACGATCTTCAAATAGGTTTTCATGTACTGAAAACTGGTCTCCGACCCTCAGGTATTGACGGTCAGTCGGCGTCATGGGTGGCCATTGTAATGAAGATATTTCAGGAAACTCGGAGTCACGAGGGTTTGGATCTCTGTGGATAGAATATAAATGTTCAGGTTCGTATTCACACATAAAAATATAGACTTATATTTACGGCATGTCGATTTAGAACACTGCTTTACTTACAACATTCGCGGGTTCGATTCCTCGCGCGGTGCATAGTATGTATGTATTTACAAAACAAATGTATCTATGTATTTTTGTCAGTTATCTAGTACCCATAACACAAGTTCCGCTTAGCTTGGGCCTAGATGGCGCTGTGTGAATTGTTCTGTGTTATTATTATTGCTATAATTATGTATAACAAAAATAAAGAAAAATGTTTGAAAGTAAAAAAAAAGAAAGTATTTAACATGAATGTGAATGGATGGGAAGGGAGAGGTCGACCAGAAATAAGATGGATGGATTGTATGAAAGATGATATGTATAAAAGGAGAGTAAGCTCAGATATGACGGCCAATAGAGATCAGTGGAAGAAAATGACATACTGCGCCGACCACAAATAATAGGATAAAGGCAAGGCAATGACGATGATGATAATGACGAAAATCAAATGCACTCACCCATATTTAGCAAAGTTGTACCAAATAGCAGTCATCTTGTCCACCATTTGGGAGTCGCTGCTGTTACTCACTTCGATGGTGGGGTAACGGTAGCTTAAGGTGAATAAGTAGATCAGATCGTCATGGTGCGCGGCAGCTGTATAAAAAGAAATATCATACATCATTTTATTACTCAACTATTCATTTATTTATGCCAACTTTGCAATTTGGCAGTTAGTATTCACACGAAATTCTTAAAAATGTAACTCTGAATAACGTTTATTTAAAAGAGCAACACGTAATTTCCTTGCTCATTCTTCTTGTGATGAGTTTGCGGTCAGAATGAGTGGTAGAAGCAAAAAAATATATTTCTTGTTTGTGAGTGTGGATAAATAGATGGATGGTTTGTTACTCTTTCACACAAAAACTATTGAATGGATTGTAATTAAACTTTACAATAATATAGTTTATACATCAACATAACATATAGGGTACGTATTACACGTGAGTGAAACCGCGGGTACAGTTAGTAAATATTTGACAAAATCAATACCACTTGGTTTCTTGGTCACAGGATCTTCGTAGTGGCTGTGATCGCCAATATACGCAAATTCATAATAGTACACTTTGTGTGGGGAATGGCGGCACATGAGGTTAGCCATTCTGAAAACAAAAATATTTTAATTTGAACAATAAATAAGCTCTGTAATATTTTATCGAATTAGGTGTTATTTTGCGGTAGTCCAGTTCATCGATGGTTTATCACACTGCTTTATTTAAGATAGTAGCGGGTTCGATTTCTAGATGCGAACATTTATATTCATGAGTATGATTGTTTGTATCGGTCTGGGTGTTTTCTATGTATATTATGTATGTATTTACAAAATAAGTATTTAAGTATTCTATCAGTTATCTAGTACTTATAATATAAGCTCTGCTGGGTTTAGGATTAGTTATGTGAATTATCCTGAGTTATTGTTTATATATATTCTTTGATAGCTGAAAAAGGTGGAACAAAGGATCTTCTGGATATTCTGCAGATGAATTTGTAAATTCCTCTTTGATAATTCTTAAAACTTTAGGAGTAAGTTACCTGTGTACAGGGAACCCAATTAGTGTGTCGCCGTACAAATTTCCCAAGGCTCTAGCAGTGGTCTCATCATTAACCAGCTTCTTTCCCTTGAAGTACTCCTGCCTCAATCTATCTACTGTTTCTTCCGAGTTTTCTGGAGGTAGTGCAAATGATATTGGTGCTATACGCTCCCACTCGTTGTTCATTGTGTTTAGAAGTGTTTCGTTATTAAGGATAGCTGTAAAGGAAAATATGTTGTCAATAAAAAGTATCTTATATAATATACCGTAGATATCGACGGTAAATTGTTAAAGCAGACCATGTTCTTTACAATTGAGTGGGAGCGGAAGTCTGATCCTTCTGTCCTGGAATCCACCATTTATTTTTTTCTGATAAGTATTTTGGAACATTATGCCCCTTTTTATATTTAGGAGTTTGGAACTTGAGTTCTTATAGACTACCAACAAATGTTAAGTACATTTGTTCTAAAAGTTTTCCAGAAAAATACATTTGTAGTCCGACTAAAAATGAAGATATTGAATACATAATATCGCCTTTTATATTTGGAAGTTTGGACCAGCGTTAAGTTCAATAGACCTGCTAAGTACTTACATCATGCTTTCCAGAAAAACTCATCTGTAGTCCGACTAAAGATAAAGTTATTAAATAATTTATATCGCCTTTTACACTTAGGAGTTTAAGATTTACTTTAAGTTTAATATGCTAAGAAATGTACTTACTAAAAGCCTTCCAGAAAAACTCATCTGTAGTCCGACTAACGATGAAGGGTACCGCATGCATTTTGCCCGTGCGTATCGCTTCCATTGGTTCCATTGTAAGGAAACGCTCTTGTCCAAAATCGGGCTCCACTATTGGAGACCATATTAATAATGGGTCATATCCAAAATCCTAAAAAAACTAATTCTATAAATATAAGCCTAATTACTTTTTAATGTCCAGTATCAGTATGGGCTACGGACGTAAACTCTTTCGATTGATAACTAAAATAGTATTGGCAAAGATAGCGTCGTGGATTTGTAGTTAGACTTATCGCAAAACCTTCGTAAGTTCAAGCCTGGCTGACAACAAAAAACCTTTGTTTGTCAATCTATACTACTATATATGGACTCTCCCGTAATAAAAATATGTATAACGTTCAATTAGCAAATGTAGGCATCACCAGAAAGTTTAAATTTGTTAATGTCTCTGACTACCCCCATTCCCCAATAGTCGTAAAGGTATATATTTATATTATTTTTAACTATAGACTTTTTGCCACGCACAACAACGTTGTGGAATCACCTTCCAGCAATGGTATTCCCGAACAGCTACGATATTTAAGCTTTCAATTAAAGAGTATATTCCTTCCTCAGAGGCAGGCAATGCACTTCCAATTTTCCTGGTGCTGAATCATAGATGGTAGTCATCACATAACACCCGGCGAGTAGCAAGCAAGTTTGTCGTTTATGCTTAAAATATAATATAGAGAAAATAAACTTACATAGAATGAATTCAACGATTCTCCAATTTCTTTTCCAGACTTCGTTTTTAAGCACTCAATAATTGCCTCTGATGAATTTGTTGGACAATTTAGTATACGCGCTTGTTTTTGTGCAAGATCTAGCATATCCTGTGCTAGTGGTACTTTGGTAATTGGAGATCCACTTATGGATATGCCACGGTGGAATAAACCTGCAATTATAAAATCGATTAATAATGATTTTACGTGGTCTTCAAGTAACCTATATCGACTAATATTATAAAGCTGAAGAGTTTATTTGTTTGAACGTCCTAGTCTCAGGAACTTCGGGTTCGAATTGAAGAGTCATTTTTGTGTTGGATAGTCCATTTGTCGATGAAGGCTTTAAGCTATGTAACATTACGCTACAACCTATAGGAGCGGAGCTGCAATGAAAAATATTGCAAAAGGTGGGGAAATTAAACGCAGACGAAATGGCGCGGATCAGCTAGTTGGTGATAACGATAAAAGAAAATTTTCGTTTTTTTTAGGGTTTTGGGCTATTGTCAGATGCTATGCTATCCTATGAGCTGTAGCACTGCAACCTTTTGTCCTCGCCTTGACATTTACTACTTTGTCTGCTTTCTAAGATATAGATTTTTAATGATTGTCTACATCTACTGAATGCTTATGTGTTTGTTCTTTATGCACAATAAAGTGCTGAGATGATTCTTTTTTATGTGACTGGAAAGGAAAATAAGGCGCATTACTGTCGGTATTTACATGAACAACATTATCACATTATCTTGTGACCACATGGTACTCATGACTTGCCATTCCAGAAAACAAGTTGGCGGCTGAATTACGTGAGTCAAAAATAATGGAATGAAATGAAAATTCTTTATTGTTCTCCTCCTAGAATACAAACAAACATTTATATACACTATTAATATATAAATAAGTATAAATATGTATAAAGATACAACATTGTCAAAGTGAAGAGGCAACAAACAAAATATCCACGTGGTGTTTGTACAAAACCTACGTTGGCGAGTTATAGCAACTCACCTGCCGACATTGGTGACACCATATGCAACAGCACACTGGAGGAACCAGCGCTGCAGCCTGCCAGCGTAACGAGGTCAGGATCTCCACCGAACGATCGTATATTCCTTTGTACCCACCGTAGAGCAACTACTTGGTCTTTAAACCCATTGTTACCGGGAGCTAATGCGTCACCTGTACTAAGAAATCCTGGAAAGCAAAAAATTTCCTTTAAATTTTTACCAATATTACAAAGCAGATTAGGATTGGATCCCGCACTAGGCGAACCAGATGAATTGGCAGATGTTATAAACTATTATAGATCAGTGAATAAATGAAGAAGATTCATCATTGCCTTGCCTTTATCCCATTATTTGGGGTCGGCGCAGTATGTCATTCTCCTCCACTGCTCTCTATCCGTCGTCATATCTGAACATACTCTTTTATTCATATCATCTTTCACACAATCCATCCATCTTTTCTTAGGGATGAAGAAGATTTATCAGTTCGAAAGATTTTAAACAGAAATGCTTCAAATTTGAATTAAAATAAATCAAAAGTGTTGTAACTGGCTAATGAAGAAATGTTTTGTATTTAAAATTTATAGTTCCTTTTGTAGATTCTTGTTTGTTACTTTCATTCTATTCTGAGTAGTCTATATTAATATATATTTTCCTCCGTTTTGTCTTTTTTCCTATTATCTATACATGAATAAAATAAAACTACAACAAGAAGCATCCTTACTATTATTCCAAATGCCAAAATGAGTCTGCGCATCTGTTTATTACTTTTTAACGACTAAAAGACGAATGGATTTCAAGGAAATTAGAAATGAAAATTTATTGTAACACGAGGATGTTACCAGATTATATTCTGCTTCAAAAAAGTACACAAAGTCGAGGATAACGGCTAGTATTAAACAGTCGAAGGACAGCAATCAATCACAATACAATAATATCAAACTAGTCTAAGTCAGACGAAACATGACGCGATCATATGATTTGACATACCATGAGAGTCTGTAATAGACCTCCATAATAAAGATATTTTGATGATAACTTCTGGAAACCATTTTGATAAATTTCTGGTGGGCCAACTAAACAGATTCATATTATATAATCTTTCACTGATGGCTGACTTCCAAAAGAGGTATACCGGTACAATTTACCACCATATATCAGATTATTTATTACTAGCTCCACCGGCGACTTCGTCCGCGTGGAATTTAACTATATTTTTCTAAAACAAATAGATTTTTGTAAAATAAAAGTAGTCTAAGATACTCATAATTACATCAGCTACCTGCCAATAAAAGTCCCGTCAAAATCGGTCCAGCCGTTACACAGTAAAAAATGTTATTTTGGTGTATGCACCGTATTTATATTCATATGCATGTAGCAAAAAACGGTTATTTCAATATTACAAACAGACACTCAAATTTTACTTATATGTATAGATTAATCTTATACAGAAAAAAAAACCAAAACAGCATTTACCTAGTGATCCGATTCGATAGTTAATGGTAACAAGGACGATATCTCTGTCCAGTAAATAGTGAGGTCCGGCGAGGTCACTGCGGCCTGACATCGAGTAGTACCCTCCGGCGTGAATGAAAAATATAACAGGCAGGGGATCTTTGCTGAAAACATATTAATTTCATATAATACTAATGAAAATGAAATGATTTTTATTCAGTAGAAAACTAAAACACACATTAAACAAACAAAAAATAGAATAACAAATAAGTGCGAACAATTACAAACAAATAACAGTACCCAGATTACGTATGTGCGCGTGTGCGAGCATGTGTATGTCTGTGGAGCATCTACTGAACAGATCCGTGCTCAGCGTAATACTGCAGTGTTAAAGTCCGGAACCCGTTCAACCCTAATTTGTTTGTCCTTATGAGACACACTTCGAAAGACAGCTTATTGTTTAACTGCTTTTTCCTCAACAATTTATCCACTCAATTATTTAAATATCTCTCATATAGTATTATAATATTCATCATCATCATCATCACAGCCCGCAAGACGTCCACTGCTGGACATATCCTCCTCCAAAGATCTCCACGGCGATCTGTCCTGCGCTGCTCGCCGCGGTCGCCACTCGAGGACTTTACTGCCCCAACGATCATCTGTCCTATGAGCTATGTGCCCTGCCCATTGCCATTTCGTTTCGCAATTCTTCGGCCTATGTCGGTTGCTCTGTTTCTTCTGCAGATCTCCACTTAAAGCTCCTCTTAAGAACTTTTTAATAGTCTTAACATTTTTTTTATCTACCGCTCATTCGGAAAGCTGTCTCATCACAAGAAGAACGAGCAAGAAACTTGCGTGTTGCTCTTTTAAATAATCCTTGTAACTTTACATTTTTAAGTCGAAACGTGTGAATACAGACTACCAACCAGCACTAATTTATTAGGGTCAAATATAAATACACGATAAGATTAATCATTCATCCCTATAAACAGCACTTGAGTATGACGGATGAGCCAGCCATCACTACGCCCGACCATATTTTAGGGAACCCAATGACCCGGCCCACCACGTCGCCACATGTCTGGACATTTTAATGAGCATGACTACTCATTCCACTCGACCACGTCACAGCTACTTAAAATTACTATGATGATAATGAATACAAATAATGTACATTTAGACTTATGTTATTCCTTCCAGCAATAGTATTTCCGAACCGATACGATATTGAAACCTTCAAGAAAAGAGCTTATTCCTTTTTAAAAGGCCGACAACGTACTTGCAATTTCCCTGGTGTTGCGGGTGCACATGGGCGGCGGTAATCACTTACCATCAGGTGAGTCGCATGCTCGTTTGTCCCCTGTGTTATAAAAAAAAATGTACATACCTGTCATGACTTGGGGTATACACGTTGATGATCAGACAGTCCTCATCTATGTAGTACCCTGCAGGAGCTGGTTGTGGTGCGGCTGGACCATCCTTCGTGGCGTCTACTTCACCATCATAGTGGAGAATCGGCTTAGGTGGCTACAAAATAAATATGCTAGATATATCAAAATTAAAAATAAATTTTTATTAAAAAAAAATTAAAAGAACTCGCAAGACCCTCAACTGGCATTTTTTTTTATATATATTTTATTGCACTTTTAAATACATTGATTGAATATAATATTCTCAGGACAATTCAATTTTCTCAACACAGCGCCATCTAGACCCAAGTTAAGCTAGCTAAAGCTTGTGTTATGGGTACTAGATAACTGATACAAATACAAAGATTTTTTTTTTGTAAATACATATAATATATATTATACATTGAAAACACCCAGACTGATACAAACAATCGTACTCATATATAATACAAATGTTTGTGCCATGCGAGGAATCGAAGCCGCGACCATCGGACGTAAAGCGGTGTGCTAAACCGCTAGACCACCGAGGTCGTCAGAATATGTGTTACAAATTTTGTTTGCAAAGAGGACATATCTCTAAAAGAGATCTCTTCCAGTCAACACAAAACAGCGCGACACTGGAAGTGGTGTGTGGGTCACAGGAGAAATAAATGTAAGAAAAGATAAAATAAGAACTGAAACTAAAGATTTAAAGTCAAATATTATATATATTTTAGTATAAATACACTGTAGATATAAATATATACATATATTTTCATTCATAATTTAAAAGCTACACTCTTGTCGGTGGAGCTCTTGCCACTTTCCGCGATCTTCCATCATGCTCTTTAATTCTTGATACGACACGACTCCCATTTTGTCCTCAATTTGTTTGATGTAGCTATTCCTTGGTCTTCCCCTCCCCCTCTTTCCTTCTATTTTCCCCTCAATAATAATTTTCATGAAATCATCGCGCCGTATCAAGTGTCCTAACATTTTTCCTCGTCTATTTTCTATTTTGTTCAATATCTGCCTTTTTTCTTTTACCCTGTGTAGTACTTCTTCGTTTCTTGCTTTACATATATAACTAATAATAATATATACATATATAATATAAATAATCAATATATAACCTAAAATGTTATATGTTTTGTTATTTTTCGAATCAGTTTTATTATTCTTCGTCCGCGTGGAATTTATCTTTATTTTTCTAGAATAAAAGTAGCCTTAGTTACTTTTTATTACATCGGCTACCTGCCAAAAAAAGTCCCGTCAAAATCGGTCCAGCCATTTCAGAGATTAGCCGGAACAAACAGACAGACAGACAGACAAAATTAAAAAAAAAATATGTTACCATAGTAGTATAAAAAACAATATTTTTTTTATCCTAATCTTAATATTTACAATTTTTTTTATTTGTTACTCTTTCTCGGAAAAACTACTGAACGGATTTTGATGAAACTTTACAGCAATATGCATCAGAATAACATATAGGGTATAGTTTTAATTGAAATTTAACGCAGGTGAAACCGCGGTCCTAGCTAGTAAATACAGATATATAGACAATACAAACAGTCTTATTCATGAATACAAATATTTCACGCACGATGTATATAATTTAGATATAAAATTATATACATCGTGCGAGGACTCGAACTCGCGACCATCGAAATTAAAGCGATAGATTACCTGGAATCTCAAGTTTCCGATTGGTGGCTCAGCATATCTGATGCCGCGGTAAGCTTCGAATCGACGACCTCGACGTGTTTCCATCCAGGACCCTCGGAAGCTACCAGATGGATTGGTAACCAATGGACCATCTTGTGGACACGAGATTACGTTGGCAGCCATTACCGGGGTATTTGGTATAACTAATAAAAAACGAGTGTATTTTTAACGTTAGAACCAGACATTTTTTTTTAGTTATAAACGCGAAAGTTTGTAAGTACGGATGTTTGTTACTTTTTCAAGCAAAAACTACTGAACTATTTTTTTTTATTGCTATATTTATATGTATATATATTTGCTATATATATATATATTTTATTGAACTATCGTTTAGAGAGGAATAATTCTTTCATACATATTTTTAGGTACCTTAAACTGTGTAAACGTAATGTCACGTAACGAAATCCCTCTAATATGAATATTTTTCCCCGTTGTAACATTTTTCACTCACTCTTGGCTCCTATTGGTCGTAGCGTAATGTTATATAGCTTAAAGCCTTCCTCGAGAAATGGACTATCCAACACAAAAATAATTTTTCAATTCGAACCAGTAGTTCCTGAGATTAGCGCACACAAACAACATACAAACTTCTGCTTTATAATATTAGTATACAGATTACTAGTTACTCGCCCCGGCTTCGCGCGGTTGTACATGTATTATACATAAACCTTCCTCTAGAATCACTCTATCTATTAAAAAAAACCGCTTCAAAATCCGTTGCGTACTTTTAAAGGTTTAACCATACATAGGGACAGACAGCGACACTGATGTTTTGTTTTATACTATGTAAAGATAATTGTACATAAAAATTCACATTAACCATACATAGGGACAGTCAGCGACATTGACTTTGTTTTGTATTATGCAATAATGATAATTGTTTTGAAAAAAATCACAGCACAAATAATAAAACCGTTAAAAAAAACAATTAGGGTAACTCTAACCTGTGTGTTTGTCGATGGTCTGCCGGCAGCCGAATGAGACCACAACGTAACACAGTACAAGAAACACTATCATTTTCCTGTGCGAGAGCGGACACACTAAACCGACCTGTATGAATCACAATATTTATACACTTCATTATGATTCAAATGTATATTAACTAACTAACTGCGAACCGCGACTTTGTCTGGTTTATTAGACACATATATGTATATATATATATATGTGGGCTGATGATGATGATGCTATATATATATCTATACATTTATATGTATAGATAGGTTATTAACGGTATTTATATACCGTTAATAACCTTCACCATCAGTTGGGCCGTATGCTTGTTTGCCACCTAAGTGGTATAAAAAAAAAAATTGTAGTGTCTGTTTGTAATATTGAAATAATCGTTCTTTACTACATGCATATGAATATAAATACGGTATATATCAAAATAACATTTTTTTATTAATTTTTGTCTGTCTGTTTGTTCCGGCTAATCTCTGAAACGGCTGGATCGATTTTAACGGGACTTTTTTTGGCAGATAGCTGATGTAATAAGGAGTAACTTAGGCTACTTTTAATTTAGAAAGATTTAGTTAAATACCAAGTGGACGTAGTCGCGGGAACAGCTTGTATATATATTTACTAGCTGTGCTCACGGTTTCACCCCCGTGAAAATAACCTATGTGTTATTCCGAAATATAAGCTATATTACTGTAAAGTTTCATCAAAATCCGTTTAGTAGTTTTTGCGTGAAAGAGTAACAAACATCCATCCATACTTACCAACTTTCTTGTTTATAATATTATTAAGATAAGATATTTATACCATAGTGGACAAACGAGCTTGCGGCTCACCTGATGGTAAGTGATTACCGTCGTCTATGAGCACCCGTAAAACCAGTGGAATTGCAAGTTGTTGGCCTTTTAAGAAGGAATAAGCTCTTTTCTTGAAGGTTTCAATATCGTATCGGTTCGGAAATACCATTGTTGGAAGTGGTATCTTAATATAACAGATGAGTCGTAGATATTTCACATTCACATTGCTTGTCTAGTAGTTTAGAACACCGCTATATTTCCGACTATCTTTTGCCTGCGGCTTCACTCGCGTTAATTTATCCACTTAGGGATGAAATTTAACAAAATCCTTTCTTAGGGGATGCCTACGTCATAGTAGCTTTATGCATGCAAAGTCTCAGCCCGATCGGTTTAAAATTGACGAAGTTTCATACAAACTTTCATCCCCTATTTTATCCCCTTGGAATTAAGGTAGTGGTAGAATTAATCAAAATCCTTTCTTAGCGGATGCCTACGTCATAACATCTACCTGCATGCCATATTTCAACTCGATCCGTCCAGTGGTTTGGGCTGTGCGTTGATAGATCACTATGTCAGCGAGTTTGAAATCATCACACGACACAGATTTGTATTCATGAGTATGACTGTCTGTATTGATATTCACAGTGTTTTCTATATATGTACTTAAAAAAAATAAGTACCTATGTATTTATAACAGTTATCTAGTACCCATAACACAAGCTCTGCTCACCGTGGGACTAGATGGCGCTGTCTTAATTGTTTAAGGATATTATTAGTGATATTGTTGCGTACGTTACACCATATTTCCAATTGTTTATTTACATTTTGAAAGTGCCGTGACTTAGTGACTTATTAATCTGACCTAATCCCCAAAGGTCGGGGGGAAGGGGAGTGTTATGGGAACTGGTAACTCCCATTGCTAGCAATGTACGGTTAGGTCGACCTCCACGCGGTTCCCCCTGGAAACTATCGTGATGAATCCTAGGTGAATTTATCATGATGCACTAACTAACCTGACCTCACGCTCATCTTATCATCCTCCACTGGTGCCCCGCCAGCGTAAACCGTTAGCGCAGGCGGGTGCACAATTCCATTATCATTCACAAAAAAAAATCCCAAAGGTCGTGAATTCAAGTCTGGACAGATTTTTATTTATTTGCACGGAATGAGCTATGGAATTCACATATAGGACTGTTGTATAAAAAATATAACGTATACCAGAGGCCTTTCAATAATTTTCTAGTTTTGAAATAACTTTCTTGCTCGTTCTTCTTGTGATGAGACTTTCCGAATAAGCGGTAGGTTAAAAAAAATACTGACATATTTTGAATACAAAAGTATTTTCATTAAGTTTATTTGAATAAAGGATATTCTATTATATTCTATACTATTCTGTTCTCTTATATTTTAAATAATGCTGAGTGACGACGGTAGGTTGCCGACCTTTGATAATAATAATAATCTCAGGACAATTCACACAGCGCCATCTAGACCCAAGTTAAGATGACTAAAGCTTGTGTTATGTGTACTAGATAACTGTTACAAATACATTTTTGTTTCGTTAATACATATCATACATAGAAAACCTCCTGACCGATAGAAACAATCATTATCTACGCCCAAAATAGAAATAAGGTTGGCAACACTGAACGAGTGTTCTCTCTGTGTGTGCATATAATGTCGTGGTTGGTACTTTGTAAAAAAAACCCATATACTAACAATAAATGACTTGAACTTTAAAATTATCTAATCAAATAGTGATCGCACTGATCAACCATACTCATGAATACAAATGTTAGTACCGTGAGAGGAATTGAACCCGCGACTATCGGAAGCAAAGCGAAACCACTAGACCACCGAGGTCGTAAAGACATTATCTTTGATTACACCATCCGAGAAAGAACATTATATATTTCCCTTCCATCTTCGCAGTAATTAGACCTTTTCACTGGAACTGGTTTATGTAATTTACATTTGTAAGTAAATAAGGAAAACACTCAACATGAGTCATGTGGTACAGCTGTGCAGTAGCGGCGAGATGCAGTCATCTCTAACAATGCACGCTTTTATAGATACACTCATCCTGGTATCTTGCAATATACAAAATTCTCACGTCAAGTGCTGGTCATTGATTATGTTATGGGATTCTATTTATTGTAAACTTTCGCTTTAGAAGGGATTCTATTTATTGTAAACTTTCGCTTTAGAGATATAGAATAGATTTACCAATTCATATAGAAAAAATAATCTGGCGCTTAATATTTATACGCAGCTGACTGTACCACGATTGAGGTCATTCTACCGTCATCTAATGACGTCTCAACTATACAGCTCAGACAAACAATCGAGTATTAATATTAGTTATATGCCACATAACGGTCAGTATTAAAATTTTTAATTAAGTAAATAGTTTTTTTTTCATATCTAATAATAATAATCTCAGGACAGTTCACACAGCGCCATCTAGACCCAAGTTAAGCTAGCTAAAGCTTGTATTATGGGTACTAGATGACTGATACATATACATAGATATTTCTTTCGTAAATATGTACATATTATACATAGTAAACACCCAGACCGATACAAACAATCATACTCATGAATACAAACGTTAGTAACGTGCGAGGAATCGAACCCGAGACCATCGGAAGTTAGGTGGTGTGCTTATAATAATAATAAGATGTTTATTTTGACAATGGCTCATTTCTTGGTATTTTTTTTAGTGTTTATATATTTAAAAAAAATATATCTATGTATTTATATCAGTTGTCTAGTACCCATAACACAAGCTGTGCTGTACCGTGGGACAAGATGGCGATTTGTTAATTGTCCAGAAGTTAAAAAAAATATTGGATATATGAGTTCCAACGCTGATTTTCAGGCATATTGTTGTGATACTCATCTCAACGACATCAAAACCTCAAACACACAAATAACAATTAAAATACAAGGCATGAGGCCTTGTCAACAGGACATTCGTGGTGGACGTGACACTTGGCATGCTTACATTTCGCTGGCTATGCTGAGTTGTTGAGAAACTACAGCATCGTGTTTATAAAATCAAAAATAACAACGCTATGTATGTTGGAGACTACAATATGACGTTTTCAAATCAAAATAATTTATTCATGTAGGACATTTTAGTTTCTTAAGGACGTCAAGTTTTGTGTGTTAATATTTGTTCAGTATACAGATTCAATTAAGAAGAGCTGGAAACTCAAATGGACGTTTTCAAATCAAATCAAATCAAATAAAAAAATCGTTTAGTCATGTAAGACATTTTAGCCACTTATGAACTTCAAAATTTTTGTATTTTTATTTTTTCACTACCGTCCAGTTCAGTATACAGATTCAATTGACAAGAACTGCAAACTCAAATGGACGTTGTCAAATGAAATAAATTAAAAAAATCGTTTAGTCATGTAAGACATTTTAGCCACTTATGAACTTCAAAATTTTTGTATTTTTATTTTTTCACTACCGTCCAGTTTAGTATACAGATTCAATTGAGAAGAACAGGAAACTCAAATGGACGTTTTCAAATCAAATCAAATCAAATCAAATCAAAAAATCGTTTATTGTCATGTAAGACATTTTAGCCACTTACGAACTTCAAAATTTTTGTATCTTAATTTTTTCACTACCGTCCAGTTCAGTATACAGATTCAATTGAGAAGAACTGGAAACTCAAATGGACGTTGTCAAATCAAATCAAATCAAAAAAACGTTTAGACATGTAAAACATTTTAGCCACTTATGAACTTCAAAATTTTTGTATCTTAATTTTTTCACTACCGTCTAGTTCAGTATACAGATTCAATTGACAAGAACTGGAAACTCATATGGACGTTTTCAAATCAAATCAAATCAAAAAAACGTTTAGTCATGTAAGACATTTTAGCCACATATGAACTTAAAAATTTTTGTATCTTAATTTTTTCACTACCGTCCAGTTCAGTATACATATTCAATTGAGAAGAACTGGTAACTCAAATGGATGTTGTCAAATGAAATAAAATAAAAAAATCGTTTAGTCATGTAAGACATTTTAGCCACTTATGAACTTCAAAATTTTTGTATTTTTATTTTTTCACTACCGTCCAGTTCAGTATACAGATTCAATTGAGAAGAACAGGAAACTCAAATGGACGTTTTCAAATCAAATCAAATCAAATAAAAAAATCGTTTAGTCATGTAAGACATTTTAGCCACTTATGAACTTCAAAATTTTTGTATTTTTATTTTTTCACTACCGTCCAGTTCAGTATACAGATTCAATTGAGAAGAACTGGAAACTCAAATGGACGTTGTCAAATCAAATCAAATCAAAAAAACGTTTAGACATGTAAAACATTTTAGCCACTTATGAACTTCAAAATTTTTGTATCTTAATTTTTTCACTACCGTCTAGTTCAGTATACAGATTCAATTGACAAGAACTGGAAACTCATATGGACGTTTTCAAATCAAATCAAATCAAAAAAACGTTTAGTCATGTAAGACATTTTAGCCACATATGAACTTAAAAATTTTTGTATCTTAATTTTTTCACTACCGTCCAGTTCAGTATACATATTCAATTGAGAAGAACTGGTAACTCAAATGGATGTTGTCAAATCAAATCAAATAAAAAAATCGTTTAGTCATGTAAGACATTTTAGCCACTTATGAACTTCAAAATTTTTGTATTTTTATTTTTTCACTACCGTCCAGTTCAGTATACAGATTCAATTGACAAGAACTGCAAACTCCAATGGACATTTTCAAATCAAATCAAAAAATCATTTATTCATCTAGAACATTTTAGCAGCTTATAAACGTAATTTTTTTGTAGCATCCATTTCAGTATACAGATTCAATTGAAGATAAAAAATATTTTTTTCAAAATTTTTTATTCAAATTCAAATTCAAAAATTAATTATTCATGTGACATTTGATTTGACATTTTGGCCGCTTATGAACGTAAAATGTATAATATTATATTTTTTCCGTATCGGCCACTTTAGTATATATTTCCCGGGATTACGCGTGAAATTTAACTTTATTTTTCTAAAATAAAAGAATTTTTCAAAAATAAAAGTTGCCTAAGTTACTCTTTTTTACATCAGCTACCTGCCAAAAAAAATCCCGTAAAAATCGGTCCAGCCATTTCAGAGATTAGCCGGATCAAACAGACAGACAGACAAAAATAGTAAAAAAAAAATGTTATTTTGGTGTATGTACCGTATTTATATTAATATGCATGTAGTAAAAAACGGTTATTTCAATATTACAAACAGATACTTCAATTTTATTTATATGTATAGCTTTATTATTTATTTCTTCGAACTAGACGAAATATTCTAAATATTAAAATTGACAACCCTGATTTCATTTGCTAAGATATTGCTACTTGTCTATCAGTAGGACACTACCCTATTAGGGTTCCGTGTCGATTTAGAAACGAATAAAACTTCATAGTCAACTACAAATATTATTATAGTTTACTAAAGTAGATTTTGTCTAAAATTCAAAGTACTTAAATCTCACCTATTCAAATTCAAAATATCTTTATTCATGTAGGTCTATTACAGACTCTTATGATATGTCAAATCTACCGTCAGTTAGGAATGATTTCGAGATGAGAAGAACTGACAAGAAACTCAGCTCGTATTCTTTTCAAATAAATGTTGTACATGTTTACAATAATACAGATCCATTTAAATTCAAATTTGGGAGAATAGAGTGACCACCAGCTATGCTATTGCAAGGGAGCAGTTCAAGTATTACGTAAGCAGATTTATTATTATTATTTCTTTCTTTCTTTCTTTCTTTCTTTCTTTCTTTCTTTCTTTCTTTCTTTCTTTCTTTCTTTCTTTCTTTCTTTCTTTCTTTCTTTCTTTCTTTCTTTCTTTCTTTCTTTCTTTCTTTCTTTCTTTCTTTCTTTCTTTCTTTCTTTCTTTCTTTCTTTCTTTCTTTCTTTCTTTCTTTCTTTCTTTCTTTCTTATTACAATTATTTACCTCCCCCCCCCATCCCCCTTGTCCGCAAAAGTAACTCTTACCCCTCATGATTACGTAAACATTTTTCAATTAATGTATTTTTTTAGCGAAGACAACGTGAGGTTTGCCATTCGGTTGCCATTGATAAAAAACGGTAATTTCAATATCACAAACAGACACTAATTTTATAGATTATCCACAGCACGGAACCCAAGCATCACATAGTTGAACGCTTGTTACTTTACGTTATTATTGAATTAAACGCTTGGAAATCCCACATTGAGATCGCGTGTGCGTTTAAGGAAAACAATATACCAATACGTAATACGGCCCATCTGATGGTAAATGGTACCGTAGCCTATGAACGCCTGAAACACCAGGGGTATCACGTGCGCGTTGCCGACCCTTAAGAAACCTTAATATACCCTTCTTGAAAAACCCCATGCTGTAGTCTCGTGGGAAAACCTCGGCAGGAAGTTCATTCCACAATCTAAGTGTACGCGGGAGGAAGCTCCTCTGAATCCGTACTGTCCGATCCAGCGTGTGGGCATGAATTCTTTATTTATTTTCGTTATTATATTATATTTTTTAAGAATAGAATAGAATAGAAAATCGTTTATTCAAATAAACTTAATTTAAGCACTTTTGAATAGTCATAACAATTTGTTTTTTATCTACCACTCGTTCGGAAAGCTGTCTCATCACAAGAAGAACGAGCAAGAAACTTGTGTGTTGCTCTTTTAAATAATCCTTGTAAGTTTACATTTACAAGTCGAAACGTGTGAATACAAACTACCAACAAGCAATAATTTTTTTGGTCAAATATAAATCATGCAATAAGATTAAATCAGTCGTAGTGATAAGAGCAGACCAGTCGCTACAAGCAGCACTCGTTCACGAGTATGACGGATGAGCCAGCCATCACTGCGCTCGACCATATTTTAGGGAGCCCAATGACCGGGCCCACCACGCCGCCACATGTCTGGACATAAGCTTTTTAATTTTAGGTTCTTAGTTGTACAATAAAGTTATATTGATTCTTAATATATGTCGTTTTATATTAATGTTATTTTGTCAATTTAAACGTTTCTTACAGAGATAGTTACGTATAAAAAGAGTTTGCAATTAAATATGATTTTGACATAAATATAATTTAAAAATTTGTTCAAAATTGCGAAATGTTAATAACTAGTTACTCACCAAAGCCTCGCACGTGTGTACATGTATTATTGATATAAAACTTCCTCTTGAGTCATTCTATCTATTGCTATAAACTGCATTAAAATCCGTTGCGTAGTTTAAAAGATGTATGCGTAGAGACAGCGAGAGAGATTTCATTTTTTTATTAAACTGTATAAATGTAAAGATATGAACATAAAAATTAAAAAAATTGCAATGAAATGCGATTTTGCCGTAAAATTAATTTAGTATTTATGTTGATAATTGCGAAATATAAATAATACTAATTATTTATGTATTTGCTTGTTTATATAATATACTAGCTGTTCCTGCGACTTCGTCCTCGTGGAATTTAACTACATTTTTCTAAAATAAAAGTAGCCTAAGTTACTCCTTATTACATCAGTTACCTGCCAATAATAGTGCCGTCAAAATCGGTCTAGCCATTTCAGAGCTTAGCCGGAACAAACAGATAGACAGACAGACAAAAATTGTAAAAAATGTTATTTTGGAGTATGTATTTATATTCATATGCATATAATAAAAAACGGTTTCTTCAATAGTACAAACAGACAGTACAATTTTATTTATATGTATATATATATGCCTACCAGAGGGCCCGGCCACGCGTTGCTGTTGCTAAGGTTCTTGAATAAAATAATATTGCGACTATAAATTGAGATGTAAGCTATCCTATCTTTCAAGTTGGATCAAATTGCACACAATGTGTAAATCAAATTTGCAATCGGTTCAGTAGTTTAGGAGTCCATCGGGGACAAACAACGTGACACGTAATTTTTATATATATAAATAAGATAGGCTTGTTTATCTGTGATAGTTTTTCTTTGTTATTCTTTGTACTGTTGCAATAGTGAACTCTTTGATTGCAAGCGGTGAATGATTCTTGTGGACGATTACCATCCGGTGAGGCGTATGGTTACAATAGCGAGATAAAAAATTCAGTATTCAAAGGTACTAGAGATAGATAGTAGATTACCATCCGGCGAGGCGTATGTTTGGGTACAATAGAGGGATAAATAATTCATTCAAAGTTACTGATCTCAGGAGTATTTTTAAATAATTTTAAGGAAACTTTACAAGATATTATTCAAGGAAACGAGTTTAAAAAACTCATTAGGCATATCAATGATTATCAGGACCTGTTCTGTATTATTAGCTACATTCGTAGTCCCTGATCGACCATATTCACTCATATTGCATATAAATATAATTTTATATATATACTAGCTGTACACGAGACTTTGTTTGCGTGGAATTTAACTTTATTTTTTTAAAATAATTTTATATGAGTGTCTGTTTGTAATATTGAAATAACCGTTTTTTACTACATGCATATGAATATAAATACGGTACATACATTTTTTTAAATTTTTGTCTGTCTGTCTGTCTGTTTGTTTCGGCTAATATCTGAAATGGCTGGACCGATTTTGACGGGACTTTTTTTAGCAGGTAGCTGATGTAATAAGGTGTAACTTAGGCTATTTAAAAATAATCTTTTATTTTAATTTTAATAATAAAGGTAAATTCCACGCGGACGAAGTCACGGGAGTAGCTAGTTATACATATAGTTGTGTACCTATTCTCGTATGGTTATAAGAATCATACAGAGTTTCATAGTAGTTAGTCACAATATTGTCATACAGCGAGGATGTGGTTTCAATTACTGTTCTTGTGTTTCATTATTATACAGACAGACGGACACCGGGTACAAGAAAATGCAGACTCAGGTTAGATTATTATCTATACATATAAATTAAATTGGAGCGTCTGTTTGTAATGTTGAAATAACCGTTTTTACTACATGCTACATAAATACGGTACATATACCAAAATAACATTTTTTATAATTTTTGTCTATCTGTCTGTTTGTTCCGGCTAATCTCTGAAATGGCTGGACCGATTTTGACGATATTTAGAATATAAAAAAATATCTAGAATGTTAAAAAACCTATCATAAGGTTGGCAACCCTGAGATCAATCAACACATGCAAGTGCGCGTCTATCGAAAGGAACGGGGAATTTCTGGTCGCTTGTTTTTGGTCGGTGTATTTTTTAGTTGAGTAATATAATTAGGTAGACACCTAAGTAGATTTAGCCTAGGGCCCTACAAATTCACGATCCGCCTCTGGTGAGGTATATATTTTATAATGTAAAATATATAAGACTAGCTGTTCCCGCGACTTCGTCCGCGTAGAATTTAACTTTATTTTTCTAAAATAAAAGTAGCCTAAGTTACTCCTTATTACATCAGCTACCTGCCAATAAAAGTCTCGTCAAAATCGGTCCAGCCATTTCAGAGATTAGCCGGAACAAAAAGACAGACAGACAAAAATTGTAAAAAATGTTATTTTAGTGTATGCACTGTGTTTATATTCATATGCATGTAGTAAAACACGGTTATTTCAATATTACAAACAGACACTTCAATTTTACTTATATGTATAGATTTTATTGACGATTATCCATTTGACGCTCTCGGTGGTCTAGCGATTTAGTTTAAGACACCGTTTTACTTAGATGGTTGCGGATTCGATTCCTCGCACGGTACACACTTTCGTATTCATAAGTATGATTGTTTGTATCGATTTGAGTGTTTTCTATGTATATATGTATGTATATGAGTTGTATAGCTAACCCATAACACAAGTTTTGTCAGATTTGTACTAGATGGCGTTATACAAATTGTCCTGAGATTGGGAGTAAGATAGATAATAATAATAATAATATTTCACTACAATTCACACAGCGCCATCTAGTCCCAAGTTAAGCAGAGCTTGTGTTATGGGTACTAGACAACTGATATAAATACATGGATACATTTTTTTTTGTAAATAAATACATATTATACATAGAAAACACCCAGACCGATACAAACAATCATACTCATGAATACAAATGTTTGTACCGTGCGAGGAATCGAACCCACGACCATCGGATAGTAAAGCGGTGTGCTAAACCACTAGACCACCGAGGCTGTCAATTAACTACCGATTACATAATAGATGGTGATGTATCTATGTAATCGGTAGTTATTTACTTTTTACGCAAATGGCAAACCCTCACATTGTCTTTGCTAAAAAAACAATACATTAATTAAAAAATGTTTACGTAAGCATAGGGGGAAGGGGTAAGAGCTTTGCTTACTTTGGCTGACAAGGAGGATGGGGAGGGGGGGGGACATAATTGTAATACATCTGCTTACGTAATGCTTGAACGGTCCCTCCGGAATGGCAATACCTCAGGGTGAGATAGATGTAACTTGACCAACGAGATTATCAAACTTGTGTTGAAGACTTGTGGTATCATGTTTGTAAAAACTTGTGTAACATAAGAACACAAAAGAAAATTGAAATATATCATTCATATTATTTATAGATCCAAAGGCATCTGATGATGCTCCACGAATTGTATCACCATCCGGCTCCTTCCTTGGATCCTGGATGGAGACACGTCGCGGGCGACGTTTTGAAGCTTACAGAGGCATCAGATATGCTGAACCAGCTGTTGGAGAATTCAGGTTTCAGGTATATTTAATTCAATTACTAAAAGTATTATTTCACATAAACCTACACCCGGGTCACAAGTCCCGGGAACTGCTCGGAGTGTCCTTCTCTGTCACATGGACCCGGCTTCGGTGCAGTGAAATGCTATGTGCTAGTGGAATGCTAAGAATTTCGTCTACCCTATCTTTGAGCCTCTTTTCAGCATATTTTTTATGACTAACTCCACCCAACGGCGGATCCAGGGGGGGTCATGAGGGTCATGACCCCCCCCCCCCCCTCTGAGCTGGTTCCAGGACTCAGGTAAACCATTAATTGAATATAATGATTTTATTTATATATTTTGACACCATACAGATTTTATGTAACTCATACCTTCAATATTTAATTAATTATATCTAAATGGTGCTTCTCTGGATGTCTTCAAGAGAACATGGCAATATGTACATGTATATATACAAGTACATATTTTTAGGCTATTATTATATATTTAATCTGTTGCTATTTTTAAAAAATATATACCGTTCAAGAATGCATATACATATACTAGCTGTCCTGCCAAACGTTTTGCCATATAAATTAATAACGCTATAATACAATAGGGGTTGGTGATAGAAGGGTGAAAATTTAGGGTTGTATGTATTTTTAATGACACATTATAAAATAATACAAATAAAAATTTGGCCCAAAAAATAAAAAAACATAATGTTAGGGATGGACAACCCTTATAACGTTGAGGTATGAAAATTAGATAGTCGCCGATTCTCAGACCTACTGAATATGCATATAAAATTTCATAATAATCGGTCAAGCCATTTCAGAGGAGTATGATAACTAACATTGTGACACGTGAATTTTATGTATAAGATTTAAAATAAACAAAACTAAAATTTTGCGGCAGTTAGCTTTTCGCACTCAATACATGCTAATGATAGCGGAAATAAATAAAATAATATGAATAAATGTATTAGAAATAGAAATAATCTTTATCCAAATAAACTCATTACAAGCACTTTTGAATAGTCATATTTTGATTCTACCACTCATTAGGAATGCAGATTCATCACAAGAAGAATGAGCAAATGGACTACCCCAAAATAACACCGACTTCAATCAATTAATATTTATACAAAAAACATTGAATATTTCAGCCACCTAAGCTGATCCATCATTATGAAGATGAAGTAGACGCAAGCAAGGAAGGTCCAGCATGCCCATTACCAGCTACGAAAGTGGAAATCGATGAGGACTGCCTCAGAATTAATGTCTACACACCCCGAAGTAATACGTGAGTCATTTCTTCAATATTAACAACCCGTATGAGTGCAATTATTCTATACTTTTATTCCAAATAGTAGGATAAAAATAAGGCTATGATTATTGATCCTGTCAAAGCAAAGCAAGCTAGATTTATTTGCCAATTTGAAGACGAAACGCCACTACACATCCTATGTGGTTGTAGTCATGCATAATCGAAATATCTCCATTCACGAAAGAATCTTCATCCTCCAATCCATTAGGAAACATTTGGAATTTTTGTCCAATTTAATAGGAAACCACTGTCGAGGTTTGAACCACTAGCGATGTCCTTAGACTAAAGTCGTATCCATCAGATAGGAGCTGGTCTTCACCCTCTCCTTAAGTCCTATCGCTGATTTTGAGTGTCATCTCAGTCGCCCCCAAAAGTCCAGTGAAGGTGTAAACCTCTATTTTAATGTTGTTGGCCGCAGCTGGTCTGTAAAGACCTATCTATCTAGAAAAAACTATCCTGAAAAGAAAAAATACATTGCTCTTAAGAATATTCTTCAACTCATCTTTCCAGACGGGCCTAGCCCGTAGCAAACTCTAAAAAAGGGCGAGCACGATCTTCACAAATCGCAATGCAGGTCTAAATTATCTTGCTTAGGACCCAATTGCTAGCAATGTACCATGTCAGGTTGAACTCCACGCGGTTCCCCTAGAAACCATCGTGATGAATTTCAGATTAATTTGTCTCGATAGGCTAACTGGTCTGACTTCATGCTCATCTTATCATCCACCACTGGTGCCCAGCGTAAAGCGCTAGCGCAGGTGGGTGCACCATTATGATAAATTAAAAAAAAATCTTGTAATAGCCCAAATTCAAATAAAAAGTCAATGACTTTGGACATGTTCATTATACTTATACAAAATAACAAATCAGGTGTATTAATAACTGATATGTAATAATCTCTTATCGAATGTGTTATCGTAGAGATAATAGAATTGATATATTTATAGCATTATTTTACTTTATCAATTACTTGATGTACTCTTTGTTTGTCCGTTCGAGTGGACCTCGCCTATTTCAGCTACCAAGCAGCTTGTTCTTTTGTTAGCATGTGTAAGACCACAAATATTCGGTGTGGAAACTTGACTACCGTTACGACCTTCTCTAATGGCGATCAGTACCAGATGAGTCTATACCCAGTCTGAGTGGATCTCACCAAGCAGCTTGTTTTCATATTCATATTCTTTATTGTACACACACACACATAATAAAAAAAATTATACAGAATAAATGTAATGTACAAGGGAGAGCTTATCTCTAAAAAGAGATTTCTTCCAGCAAACCTAGAAAATGTTATAGGATCGTGTATTAAATAGAATAGTCAGTGTTGTAGTGTTTTATGTTTTGTTAGCATGTGTGAGACCACAAATATTCGGTGTGGAAACTTGACTACTGTTACCATCTCTAATGGTGATCAAATTCCGACCGTTATTGAGTCTACACCCAGTCTGAGTGGATCTCAGCAAGCAGCTTCTTTTGTAACCTGTGTTTGGGTTGTAGGGTGCAGATTGGACAGAGAAATTGCAGGGTAAAAGACATCTTAGTACTCCGGAATGACATATCTTTAGTGGTCACTATATCCTTCCAAATTTAAATTTAAAAATGAATCTGTATTATGTACAATATTTTTTTGAAAAGAATACGAGCTGAGTTTCTTGTCAGTTCTTCTCATCTCGAAATCATTCCAAACTGACGGTAGATTTGACATATCATAAGTCTGTAAAAGACCTACATGAATAAAGATATTGGAATTAAATTGAATTTTGGTATCACAGGCGTCACATGATAATATTCGGTTTACCTTATTATTACTTATTATAAGCGCGAAAATTTATGGGTATGGATGGATAGAAGTTTGTTACTCTTTCACGCAATATCTACAAAACGAATTTTGATGAAACTTTACAATAATATAACTTATACATCAGAATATCACATCTTGTCTTAATTATAAAATTCTCGTGTCAGAATGTTAGTTACCATACTCCTCCGAAACTAAACCTATTAACTAACTAATATCTATTTTTTATACCCCTTTGTGATAAGGGTTGTCAATATTTATCATTTTATGTTTATTTTTGCGACTTTTTTTCCATAATGTGGCTTTAAAAAACACATATAAAAATTTTCACCCGTCTATCACCAACTCCTATTTTTCAACAGCGATTTTATTTTATAATGAAATGAATGAATGAAAAACTCTTTATTGTTCCTCTCACAGAAAGAAAATAACAATTACATAAATGAATATGTACACCAACTAAAAACAACAACAATTACAATATAGAGGTAACAATGGGCTGCCTTATCGCTAAATAGCGATTTTTTCCAGGCAACCTTAGGATAGAGAGGAGTAATTTTTGTTTGGTTGCTAGAAGGTTATAAATTTGACATTATATAAGAAACAAATAATAAATCGGATTTATATACCAGGGTATTTTTTTTTTTATTGGGTTGTTTGGGCTATTGTCAGAGGTGTAGCACCTGTAGCACTGCGACCTACATAGATCTATTGTGCTCGCCCTTTTCAGAGTTCGCTACCTAGACCCGTCAGGGACAAGAATTGAAGGATATACTTAGGAGCGATCGTTTTTATCTCCTCGGGAAAGAGTGTAAACTTTCCAAAGGAGATATTTCGTTTATGCATGAGTGGGCTACAACCACATAGGATGTGAAGCGGCGTTTCCTCTTCAGTTTGGCAGAATCTGCCGATACTTGTCGTGCATAGGCTATATACCAGGGTATCTACCATTTCGTTAAATTAAGCCCAGCTAGTCAACACAAGCCTGAACTTCTCCTATTCTATTGATCCAACATTCTTTTTCTCTTTTGTCCAACAGCACAAATCTTCTTCCCGTGATATTCTACATCCACGCGGGAGGGTTCTATGTGATGACAGGCCGCAGCGACCTCGCTGGTCCTCATTACCTCCTCGACAGAGACATCGTACTCGTCACCATCAACTACCGACTCGCAACTCTTGGTAATATTCTTTCTATGAACTTGTTTTATATCATAATAGAACAGAATAGAAAATCCTTTATTCAAATAAAGTTTTATTGTATTATATATTTTTTTATTATTATATTATTTTATAAAACATTAAAAAGAATCTTTGTAATCCATCGCACATGGAGGTAGCGTACCCAAAAAACTACTATGGTGGCAAATAAGCATACGGCCCATCTGATGGTAAATGGTTACCGTAGCCTATGGACGCCTGAAGCACCAGGGGTGTCACGTGCGCGTTGCCGACCCTTAAGAAACCTTAATATACTGGAAGCGTTGCCTCTTTGAATGGCCATACTTAGGTTCTGGGCAAAGTAGCTACCAGCTCGCGGGTCATGAGTAACTTCGATGAGCCGTGCTGAAATACACGTCAAAATTTTGGCTTCCGGGCTCCATGGGCTCAACGACTTTACACTGGAACTAAATATTATAAATGTAGGCACACTACATTTGTAATATTTAGCTCCAACCTAACCTTGCCCAAAATCTATACACATAAATAAAATTGGAGTGTCCGTTTGTAATATTGAAATAACCGTTTTTTACCACATGCATATGAATATAAATACGGTACATACACCAAAATAACATTTTTTATAAATATAATTGGAGTGTCTGGTTGTAATATTGAAATAACCGGCTAATCTCTGAATGGCTGGACCGATTTTTACGGGACTTTTTTTTTGGCAGGTAGCTGATGTAATGAGCTTTTATTTTAGAAAAATAAAGTTAAATTCCACGCGGACGATCTCGCGGGTACAGCTAGTATTGAATAAAATTGTCACGCCATTAGTTTCAAATATGAAAGAAAATCTAACCATGTTGGTACATGGTCACCACCAGTCGAGGATGGTTCCTCGACTGGTCCATTAGACATTCTACTTGAGATATTTGTCAACAAACCAACATATCTTCCAGGCTTCATCAGTACTGGGGACGCATTCGCTCCTGGTAACAACGGCATGAAGGACCAGGTGGCTGCACTCCGCTGGGTACAGAAAAATATTAAATCTTTCGGCGGTGACCCAGGCCTCGTCACTATAACTGGATGCAGTGCTGGCTCCAGGAGCGTCATGCTCCACATGGTTTCACCTATGTCTAAAGGTAAGGTAGTAGATGTGGGGAAAGGAGATTGTTACTCATGACCCCATTACTAGCAATGTACCATGTCAGGTTGACCTCCACGCGGTTCCTCCTGGAAACCATCATGAAAAGTTCGTGGTGAGGTTGTCACGATGGGCTAACTAACCTGACCTCATGTTCATCTTATCATCCTCCACTGGTGCCCCGCCAGCGTAAACCGTTAGCGCAGGCGGGTGCACCATGCCATTATCATCCATAAAAAAAAATGTAGATGTATTTGCAAATTTACGCCTGCATATTTCCTTTTATTTAAATAACAAAAAAACATTTACTACAAAGATGAAACGACTTAACTATATGTCAGTCTGCGAAGAAAAGAGTGATGCCATCGCCAATTCTCAAATATTCTTTTCTTCAACCATTTTTTTTTTATATTACGATGGTGGCAATCAAGCCTACGGCCCATCTGATGGTAAATGGTTACCGTAGCCTATGAACGCCTGAAACACCAGGGGTATCACATGCGTGTTGCCGACCCTTAAGAAACATATGTGACATCTATATCAGTGACAGATTCCACCCATTTGCTTTGCGGCGAGATATTGCATCTCTGTGCATTTTCTACCGCATATATCACGGGGAGTGTTCTGAGGAATTGTTCGGATTAATACCAGCAGCTGAGTTTCACCACCGTACCACCCGCCAGAAACTAAATTACCATCCTGATCATCTGGACGAATGGTGGTCCTCCACAGTGCGGTTTTCTAGAAACTTTTTGGAACGCACGACCACATTGTGAAATCACCTTTCAGCAATGGTATTTCCGAACCGATACGATATTGAAATCTTCAAGAAAATAGCTTATTCTTTTTTAAAAGGCCGACAACGTACTGGCAATTCCCCTGGTGTTGCGGGTGCTCATGAGCGGCGGTAATCACTAACATCAGGTGAGCCGCATGCTCATTTGTCCCTTGTGTTATAAAAAAATATATATAATTAATTAATTATACACAGAAAATGAATAGACCAATTATTCTACGTTATAAAGCCCATTTCAAAAGCGATCTTATTGCGATATTATTAATGATGATAATGGAAATATTTCAGGTCTTTTCCACCGCGGTATATCAATGAGTGGGTCTGCAACTTCCAAGGCACCAGTTCCTCACCATCAGTTCCATCTTGCGCAGAAGCAAGCGATACTCCTGAATTGCTCCCACACAAACACTTCGGAGGAAATTATAGCTTGTTTGAAATCTAAACCTTATAGGGACTTAGGATATTCATTGAAAGGATTCTTTGTAAGTTAAATTATATACTAAAACTGGTAGAAATAGCAATTTTTTTAATACATACATAATATATGTAGAACAAGATCCAAAGTCCAAACCAATAAAAAAAATTAAAACATATATCAGCACCGTGCAAGGAATCGAACCCGCGACCATAGGATGGTTATGATGATAGGATGGATTTTTGTTACTGTTTCACGCAAAAACTACTGAACAGATTTTGATGAAAATTTATACATCAGAATAACACATGCGGGTGAAACCGAGGGCACAGCTACTATTATAAACGCGATAGTTTGTGAGTATGCATAGATGCATGTAAGTTACTCTTTCACGTAAAATCTACGGAACGAATTTTGATGAAATTTTACAGTAACATAATGTAAAAAGATATTATGTAAATTGGGTGAAATGTAATGATAAATCTTAAGTAAGTATGATGCAGACGAAGTTACGTGGGTAAGGTAGTGTTTGAAGAAAGATTATTTTATTCAGATCTGTGCCCACAACTTCGTCCATGAGGAATAGTGATCTTGATCAAATAAAGTATATTTAGTTAGATTATAACCCAAACTAGTATCATCGTTCTACTTAAAAAATGGCGATTATTTAAGTAGAACCTTTTACCTTATAACCTTTATACAACCTTTCATCCCCGCTTTCAACCCTTTACAACCCTTTGTTACCGTCAACGGCAACCGTTAGCCAGCGTGCCCCGCTAAAGCAGATTTCAGCGACTACAACGTCATCTGGTTTGAGTGAGATAATCACCACAATATATTTTTATTTAATAAATATTATTTATGCTTATAAACTTAAAGTAAATATATAAATAGTAAAGATTAAATCTAATTATAATTATGACATAAAATGTATGTTCTAGAAGTTTGATATAATCATGTTTATTATTGAGTACAAGATATAAGTTCTGATTTGACCATAACAGTCCCACCTACCTACTGACTTTAAAAAGAACCACTATATTGTGTGCACAGACCAGTTCGGTTCAGATGCTCGAAGTGAAAAATACATATAAGTGAAAGAAGAAATTAATACTCTTTCGTTGCTGCTGCCGCCCCGTAACACCTTTTTTCGCCCTAAAACGTAGTCTATGTCCTTTCTCAAAGTCTAGACTATCTGTATACCAAATTTCAATTAAATCGGTTTAGTAGATTTCGTCATCTTTTTATGCTACGTTTACATTCAGCCGCTACTCCTACCACTCGCGCTGCCGGAAATATTGCGGGGCGAGAACTGAGCGAGTGGGCTGAATGTAAAACACGCTGCCACTCGCGCTGCCAGTCCTTTGACTCGCGCACGAAAAACCGACAATCGAGGGAGCGCCGGGCAGCGCGAGTGGCAGCGCCAATGGCATGGGAAGTGTATCCACTCGTGTTTACACTCTCGCGCTGCTAACTTCCCTGCCCACTCGGGCTGAGTGTAAATTGGGCATTAGGATGTTCCTTCACCAATTTTTAGTAATAAATAAAAAAAATCATGTACACTTATGTTTCCAGCTTTCTACGCCCTTTTGTTCTGTTTTTTTATTGGATTGTTTGGGCTATTGTCAGATGTGTAGCACCTGTAGTAGCTTTGTTCTCTGTTAAGTGCATCTGTGTGTTAAAGGATTGAGGTCTTATAAGCATGCTTTAATCTCTTTCTTTTAGGACCATTTCAATTCAGATCCAGTCGGTCTCTGGACGGCTGTGGTGGAACCTGATTTTGGACAGGAACGCTTCCTCACGATGGACCCTGCAGACGCGATACGAGAAGGCAAGAAGCACTCAGTGCCTTACATTATCAGTCAGACACGAAACGAGTTCTTCTGGAAAGCACTGTGTAAGAACTTGAACTATTTCTTAATTGACAAACGTGCATGGGAATAGTAATTTTTAAAGTTTCATGTTTAGTATATATATTACGACCGATGGTCGCGGGTTCGATTCCTCGCACGACACAAACATTTGTATTCATGAGTATGATTGTTTGTATCGGTCTGGGTGTTTTCTATGTATAATATGTACCTATTTACAAAAAAAAAATATCTATGTATATGTATCAGATATCTAGTACCCATAACACAAGCTTCAGCTAGCTTAACTTGGGTCTAGATGGCGCTGTGTCAATTGTCCTGAGATTATTATTATTATTATTATATACATTCATTTCATTCATTTCTTTTTAGAATACAATGTTACAAGTAGGTCTTGCAATATTGAATAATTTACAGCCTGCGTACAGGCATGCAAAATTTATAAAGTAACTAGCTGTCCCGGCAAACGTTGTTTTGCCTTAAAATAAAAAAAAATTTAGGGGTTGACTACCCCTAACATTTAGGGGGATGAAAAATAGATATTGGCCGATTTTCAGACCTACTCAATACGCTCACAAAATTTCATGAGAATCGGTCAAGCCGTTTCGGAGGAGTATGGGAACGAAAACTGTGACACGAGAATTTTATATACAAGATTTATAACATACATGTTAGAGTATCAATATGGTAGAAAAATCGGATATTTTAAAATGATATTAAAAGAAGGTAGTTTGTGTTTAGTACTAATGAAGTACCCGATGTAAAGATTATTACAAATATTGTAAATAACGCTATCTAGTATTTATAGACCGAACTAATTTGTCATAAGATAACCGTTACCCCCGCTTCTCTCCCTACTACACTGACTTTGGTCTATAAATACGGAGGTCGGTAGTTGAATAATCCTCTTTCGTTGAGTGAGCCACGGCGTTCAGTCGACGAGCGCAGAGCGTGCCGGTTGTGTTTTGGATACTAAAGTGAATTGTATTAGAAATGGGTTTATCCTGGTCTTAGTTGGGCCTGGGGGGAAGCTGCAAGTAGTGAAGGTGAGTGTTAATGCATTCTAAAAGGGCCTTTTAAACCTACACCCGTGTCACAAGTCAAGGGCGCTACTTGGGGTTTCTCTTCCGGTAGCCGGCTTCAAAGCCTAAGTCGTCATTCATAATTAGTACTTCTTACATATATATGTATACAATGTATGTAAATAAAGTAGATTAAAAAAAATACTGTTCAGTTTCTAGAACCAGTTTTCAAACAAAAAATCGTCTGACAATACATACTCCTTTCTTACAGTCGATTGAAAATCATTTCAGATGTCGTTAAAAACGAATCACTGCTAAAAACCATGAACGAAGAGTGGGAGCGCATTGCTCCAGTTTCCTTCATGCTGCCACCAGGAAACTCTTCAGCAGCTGTACGCAGGTTGAAGGAGACGTACCTTGGAGATAGAAAGCTTGTCAATGATGAAGCCACAGCAGATGGCTTGGGGAAACTTTATGGAGATGCTATAACTGGATTTCCGGTACATAGGTAATATTTGACGGTGGTCGGTTTAGCGCACTTCACTTCAATGTTTTCTTTTGTTTGTACCGGTCTGGGTGTTTTCTATGTATATTATGTATGTATTTACATAAAAAAAAAATTAAGTATTTATATCAGTTGCCTAGTATCCATAACTGCGATTTTTGGCAGAGATTCGCCAAAAGGATAAAATTATATTGTGAGAAGCCATCGTGACACGAGAATTTTATATATCAGACTAGCTACTCGCCCCGGCTTCGGACGGGTGTACATGTATTATATATATAAACCTTCTTCTAGAATCACTCTATCTATTAAAAAAAAACAATTAAAAATCCGTTGCGTAGTTTTAAAGATTTAAACATAGCGACGGACAGACAGCGACCGCGACTTCGTTTTATACTATGTAATAATGAAAAAGGTAGAATTTTGCGTTACAAATTAATATTTTCAATTTAATTTCCAGAATGGCTAACCTGATGTGCCGTTATTCAACGGAAAAGGTGTATTATGCTGAATTTGACTATATCGGAAACCATAGCCATTACGAGGATCCTGACACCAAAAAGCCAATAGGTAAAGACTATGCGACATCTCGGCGACCTCGGTGGTCTAGTGGTTTAGCACACCGCTTTACTTCCGATGGTCGCGGGTTCGATTCTTCGCACGGCACAACATTTGTATTCCTGAGTAAGATTGTTTGTATCTGTCTGGGTATTTTCTATATCTAAATCTAAATATATGTAACTCAAAGGTGACTGACATAGTGATCTATCAATGCACAGCCCAAACCACTGGACGGATCGGGCTGAAATTTGGCATGCAGGTAGATGTTATGACGTAGGTATCCGCTAAGAAAGGATTTTGAATTATTCTACCCTCAAGGGGATAAAATAGGGGATGAAAGTTTATATGAAACTTTGTCAATTTTAAACCGATCGGGCTGAGACTTTGCATGCATAAAGCTACTATGACGTAGGCATCCTCTAAGAAAGGATTTTAATAAATTCCATCCCTAAGGAGATAAATTAACGCGACCGAAGCCGCGGGCAAAAGCTAGTATAATATGTATGTATTTACGAAAAAAAATATCTATGTATTTGTATCAGTTATCTAGTACCCATAACAAGCTTTAGCTAGCTTAACTTGGGTCTAGATGGCGCTGTGTGAATTGTCCTGAGATTATTATTATTGGCTTGGTACTAATGACTACAAATGTTAGCGCCTTAGGAGGAATCTTTGTATAGATGTACATAAACGTTTATTCCTACTTGGCACCTACTAGTAAAACTAGATGACAATTGCATTGTGTTTATTGTCTATGGATATTGTACCTACACTTGTAATAATTCTGTCGACACTTGAGACCCTTCCATGAATTTACGTCTTCATTAACATAGATTTAAGTTAAGTGTAAAATCAGTCTACGTCCGAACTCCGCGTCGACTGGACGTGTTATTAATAAACTTTATAGCAACTACCAATAAACTTAATAATGTCTAATAAATATTACAATCATTTTACTGGTATACTCACTGTAGTGTATGTGGAAACACTAGCAGTTTATTATCAATCGTCTCGAGCCGAGCGTACACGGACCGCCGTGCGCAAGAGGGAAGGGATTCCCTGCGCAAGCGCCGCGGAGTAAAGACGTGGAGCTATGGCTAACGAGCCGATATTATGTCGATAACAACTTACATACAAGAAGACATAAATAACAAATAAGTGAACACTATACTCACTACCTACATACTACAATAAATATTATATTATGTAGTGCCACATCATCACAATACATATATAAAGATACAGTGATGAGGATAATCATCGCACTACAATATTATTAATAATATTAATAACTAGCTGTACCTGCGACTACGTCCGTGTGGAATTTAACAAACAAGTTATATTTTTCTAAAATATATTTTTTCCAAAATGAAGGTAGCCTAAGTTACTCCATATTACATCAGCTACCTGCCAATAAAAGTTCCGTCAAAATCGGTCCAGCCATTTCAGAGATTAGCCGGAACAAACATACATACAGAGACAGACAAAAATTGTAAAAAAAAAAAATATTTTGGTGTATGTACCATATTTATATTCATATGCATGTAGTAAAAAACGGTTATTTCTATATACAAACAGACACTCCAATTTTATCTATATTTTTACAGGTGTAGCTCATCATGACGATCTGATCTACTTATTCACCTTAAGCTACCGTTTCCCCACCATTGAAGTGAGTGACAGTGATGACTCCCAAATGGTGGACAAGATGATTGCCATTTGGTACAACTTTGCCAAATATGGGTAAGTGTATTTTCGTTGGACATACTTATTATTCAATTCACACAGCGCCATCTAGTCCCAAGCTAAGCAGAACTTGTGTTTTTTTTTGTATATGATAATGAAATGGTGCACCCGCCTGCGCTAACGGTTTACGCTGGCGGGGCACCAGTGGACGATGATAAGATGAGAATGAGGTCAGGTCAGTTAGCACATCGTGATAAATTCATATGGAATTTATCACGATGGCTTCCAGGGGGAACCGCGTGGAGGTCAACCTGACATGGTACATTGCTAGCAATGGGGTCGAGAGTCCACATTACTAACAATCCCTTCCGAGAGCTTGGGTTATAATCTCAGCACAATTCACAGCTCCATCTAGACCCAGTTAAGCTAGCTAAAGCTTGTTTTATGGGTATTAGATAACTGATACAGTTTTTTTTCTTAAATACATACATATTATACATAGAAAATACTCAGACCGATACAAACAATCATACCCATGAATACAAATGTTTGTACCATGCAAGGAATCGAACTCGCGTCCATCGAAAATAAGGAGCTGTGACTACACCACCGAGTCCGTCAAATGTAATGCATGCATTACATTTTTCTTTATGTAATTGTCTAAATTATGTAATTTAGACAATTACATGTTGTTTACCATCCAAGTATGTACTTGGATGGTAAACAAGCTGGCGTCCCACATGATGGTAAGTGGTGACCGTCGCCTATAAACATGAACAGCATCAACGATATCATGTTTTTATGTGACGCCCATAGAATCTACTATTATGCTACTAAAGTGCCTGCCGGCCTCGGTGATCTAGCGGTTTAGCACACCACCGTACTTCCGATGGTCCCAGGTTTGTTTCCTCCTACGCTACAAACATGTATTCATGAGTATGATTGTTTGTAGCGGTCTGAGTGTTTCCTATATATATTATGTATGTACTAACTCACCTGATTTCATGCTCATTTTATCATCCTCCACTGGTGCCCCGCCAGCGTAAACCGTTAGCGTAGGTGGCACCATTCCATTATCATCATGAAAAGATTATGAGTGTGGATGAAAAATTGATAAAAAATTGCCGTATTTTTCTGCAGTGACCCAAATCCTCACAACTCCAAGATCCCTGAACTATCCACGTTGGACTGGCCAGCCATGACACCGATTGATCGCAAGTATTTGCAACTGGGCGAACATTTTACAGTACGTGAGAAATTATTTGAAGATCGTTTCCAAGTTTGGGAGGAGCTCTACCCGTTGCAATATTAATGCGAAGAATATCATCATCATCATCATCATCATCATCATCATCATCATCATCATCATCATCATCCAGAAGCGTAGCGTGCCTTGGGGCCCACTATAAAAATTTGTTTGGAGACGCTTACGAAGGGTAAAGATTTCTCACAAAAGAAGAAAAATGCATAAAATTCATCATAATTATCATATCATATATTAACAATTCAAATTAAATATAAAAAAGGCAAGGAGAGTGTGTCGTTGCCTTTTTTCGGCAAACTGATTTATTAAATCACTAGCTGTGCCCGCGACTTCGTCCGCATATTATAGTGACCTTGACCGAATGAAGAAGAAATATTCAATAATGTAACCTAAAAAAGGCTAAGAAAAAAAGTTTCATCATTGTAGCTTGCATCCCCTATTTCAATTTAGGGTAATATTTTTATAAATTTCGAATGTCATATTTATGTATATTTAATCAACAGCTTAAAGAATAAGTTGCAACCTTCTAGCTTTAAAAATAACAATATTTCCATACAAACTTCCATCTTCCTTTTCAACCCCTTACAACCCTTTTTTCGCATTAAAAAGTAGCCTATATCCTTTCTCACAATCTAGACTATCCTTGTACCAAATATCATTTAAATCGGTTGAGTAGTTTTGGCGCAAAAGGGAAACAGACAGATAGTTACTTTCGCATTTATAATATTACTAATGATTTATAGCTGATGAGAGAAATTGCTTTTTTTACTTTTGTCATTTGTGAAATAAAAAAAAATGGGAAGTTAATTTTTGCTTATGCATATTGGGGGGCCCCCGTTGCTCAGGGGTCCTGTATAATTGTTACAGCAGATACGGCGGTAGTTACGCCCCCGGCATCATCTGCTTCTTCCTTATCCCATTCATTTGCGGTCGTTATAATATTGTAAGCGACGCGTTCTGTGCCTTAAAAAACAAAATAATTAAAATGATGTTTGTCTATATGTTTTTCTCTTCCATTCGTCCCTGTTCGCAGTCATCTCATTATTACACACCCTTTCTTACCATTAATCCGAAGAATAATTATGATAAAAATAATAATCAAGTACAAAAAATTGTTTAGGCTGTATATGGTTATTCCGTTGCCATATAATTATAAAAAGAAAATATGTTTATTCTTGAATAAAATATGGTGGGAAATACACAGAAATTATATTGTTAAATAAAGTATTTTTATTCCATCAACCTCGGACTTATTTAAAATAATGATTAAATGTATTAAATTTCATGAGTGATTTTATCATTCAGAATGTGAGTTCAAGAGTCGGTTTTTTAAGGTTAATGGAATGGTGCACCCGCCTGCGCTAACGGTTTACGCTGGCGGGGCACCAGTGGAGGATGATAAGATGAGAATGAGGTCAGGTCAGTTAGCCCATCGTGACAAATTCACCAAGAATTTATCACGATGCTTTCTAGGGGGAACCGCGTGGAGGTCAACCTGACATGGTACATGCTAGTAATGGGGTCATTAGTCCACATTACTATCAATCCCCTTCCCCCTCAAGAGTGGGTTTGAGGAGTCCATAGACTACGGTAACCGTTTACCCTCAGATGGGCCGTAAGCAGGACGTGAATTTGTGAGGCTCTGGTCTAAATCTACTTGACCCCTAAGTAGATATACCTAATTATATTACTCAACTAAAAAATACACCGACCAAAAACAAGATTTGGACCATCATAATACGAAAAAGAACAATTCAGTTTAAGGCCGTACACTGGACTGGCTGGAAACTGACTGGATTTTAAATGGCCTTATTACAAAAAGATAAACCTGGTTTAGCACTAGTAATAAACCATTCACCAATGTATTCCTTATTACAAAATGAAGTTTATCTCTAAATCGTGATTCGTCTATGGTCTAAAGTTAGACCTGCGATGCCCCTAGTTTAACAGTGGTCTAAATGCAAAAATACAAACTCCATTTTAAAAATTCTATTGTAAGTTGTAGTTTTTGGAAAAATATTTTAACTAAATTAAAAATATATTAACTAAAAATATTTAAAGCAAATTTTACGACAATAAAAATATTAAAAAGACGTTATTTGTTATTTTTTCACTCATTTGACATTGAAATAGTCACCATTCGAACGATCCAATAAAAATATCTCGCCGTTCCTTTCCTCCGTATAGGACTCCTACTTGTAATTTAAAACTGATTTTCAGCCTAATAGTACATTAATAAATATTACATATTAATGAAATAGTTATAATGAAGACCTAGAAAAATATAAATAAATTTATTTGTAGTTTATACAATTTTATTTGAACTAATATTATTTTTGATCTTTTCAGTTTTCTGGTAAAATGGAACGTAATTGTACGGTGCAGACATGAATGACTGATTTCTGTATGGAATACATAATGAACGATTTAACTGTAGTACTAAGTAGTCCTCTGTTAGGTCTGGATTCGTAATAATGTTAGGTTTATTCCAAGTATTAACATTAGGAATGGTTTAAACCATGACCATTTAGACCACGTTTCGTCCGAGTTTTAACAGATTTTTTGTAATAAGAACGAGAGTTCATAATACCCGCAGAGAAATGCCCCGTTCCTTTCGATAGATGCGCTTTTGCATGTGTCGATTGGTCTCAGGGTTGCCAACTTATTAGGTTTTTTAACAATCTAGATATTTTTTTATATTCTAAATATCGTTTCAGTGCCTTTGTACCTTCTGGACCCTGGGCTGCAGCCCAAAAAGCTCTTATAGATAGGTAGATCCGCCCCTGGCCGTAAGCTTGATTGCCACCTTCATTGTATAAAAAAACCTTGTATACCAGGGGCAACCAACCTTTTTCAAGAACTGGCACAATTTAAATTTAATTTTTATTGGCGGTGGGTACCTAGTAAATAAATAAAGTAACACTTTTTAATTATTTATACAATAATATATAATAATAATATATAAAAATAAATAAAGATTTCATATATAAATATAAAATTGAAGGTTGTTTGTTTATGATGATTAGTCATAGATAAACTTTCAATTTCCGGGACTTTCCCGAAATCTGTACTTCTAAGGTCCACGTGCATAAGGTAAGGCGTATAAACATATACTTAATAACGAATTAAAAAAAAAATCATTAACGCAATTGCAATGCGTATACCTACATTGTATTATTTTCTTAAATTTTATTATATTTATATATTATATGTATGTATTACCGTTAGTATTTGGAATAATAATAATAACTTTAACGACGGTGGTCTAGCGGTCTAGCACAAAAATAAATAAGAAATAGTAAGAAATCGGAAAAGTAGGGAAAAATTTATAGAAAGCAGAAAAATAATAGAAAAAGTAGCAAAAGACCAATAGCAAGTAAGCATAGCTTGTTAGATTAAATACATACTTTTGTTACTTTGTCAATATTGTAAGTTTCCTTGTGAGCAGTAAATAAAGATTATTATTATTATTATTATTATTACGATGTATAGTGACTATACAGTCGGTTAAAATAGAACAAGTGTAAAGTGAAGTAAGAATAGCAAATAGAATAGAAATAGGAATAGAGGATAAGGAAATGTAAAGAGAAAAGAGGCACAATGTAAATTAAAATGAAATAGCAATAAGTTAGAAAGTAAGAAAGTATTGCAATAAGTCCGATAATATAAACTGTGGAATTAGTATATGGTTACGCCAAACGCGATGCGTACCTGGTTTGTTGATGTGCATTGACACCCCTCCCGGCTAATTCAATAATCAGTGATGTCATAGCTTTCGCCGCGCGCGCACGTCGCACTCATATCGCACGCATGTCTTAATAGTTGTAATCAACCTGAGTGAATTCCTGAGATTCCCGTAACCGTGTGGGCCCACTGAAGAACAAGCACATTGAAGTAAGGGTAAGTCATTCATATTTGACCAGCCAGTTTCCTATACAACAATATAGTCCATCGAAGAAGGCTAGATCATAGCCACCGCCGCACCATTTATTGGCCTTCCGTCGCCGGATCACAATAGGAATCGCAATTTATTTATTTAAAATTTGTTTTAATTTTTTCCTATTGTGAAAGTCGAGTGAATGACTCGCATGTAATATTGAACCTTATTGCGCATGTAATAGGATCTATTCAAATTGCATACCACGGTTGCACAAATATAACGATACATTGGTATTTTCGTTAATAAATAAGTTTATATTTATGTCGCTTATGAATTGTTCATAACTCGCAGCTCAATTCTTCAATTTCGCTTTATATCTGTTTGCGTTGTTTCGTTCATTTAATTTCACATTCACCCGCATTATATCGATATTGTTCGATCGATCGAAGCTTCTAGAAATATTATAGTTGTCGTTATACTATTTGACGAAACAATATTACCTGTCGAATATTATGTATGATGATTGTAGTGTTTGAATGTTAAGATTGTTAGTGTTGGTTACCGTAGTCTTTACACAAGAAAGTGAGCAGGGAAAGCACACTATTTAATCTGAATAATTATTGATAAGCAGCGATTTTATTTCTGTTCGTAATAGATATTTTATTTCCTTGCAGTACTCGCCGTATAATACGCTGGTTATTGTAAATTGTTTGAGTATTCGTTCGCATAGCTGTTTTATACAATACATGTCGGTTAAAGATCGTGCCCTACGTACCTATGATTAAGTTATACGTGGTGTATCGACACAGTGACTAACAACAACGCTTTAGACTACTCCCGCGTAAAATAATAGTTGTGAACATAGTTATTTTATATCTTTTTAGTTATAGTTATAGATATATTATCTGATTTTCTATGACATCACTCACTTCGATTTCGCTTTATGTATAGTTTATGTTTCGCTCGCATATTTTTTTTGTAGATGTATGGTCGATACCTACATTCCGTATTGTCGCACTTATGTACCTACATACTACCGCTTATGAGTAGGTATATATAAATTTATTTGTCACGCGCTTTAGTGTTTAAAACGTTATTGTGATTTACTTCTCGCACCGCATATTTAAAATATTGCTTTATGCATTATTTTATTTTTCTCGCATATAGGTATATATAGATAATAGTTGTACCTATTTTTCG